AAGTGTTCAGTGAATATATTTCTATAAAATTCTTTAGAAAATATTTGTAATTAATTTTATTTTTAATATTGTGAGTATAATATAATATAGTTAATACAAATTACACAGTAATAATCACTAATAACATTGATTTGTATTTACATTTCATGATATTATGTTTTACATATAATATTGATAAGGAAAAAAAATTGATATCGTTTAAACAGTTATAAGGTATTATACTATTACATTTCCTGTAATCAGATAATTGTCTACGTTAAAATAGTACTTGAAAAACGTATTCAAATTATTTAAAATATTGGCTTTAATTTTCATACGTATGTAACTCGAGTAATGAAAAAAAACTCATTTGATTTATTTGTTTCGCCAGCAGTGTTCATTTATCGTTTAACTATAATTTTGTTACTCTTAAGTTATTGAATTATATTGGTGGCCAGGTGTTTATTTTACAAATTTCTTAAAAAAAAAAAACATATTCTTTGTTTTAAGTAGTTTATAGGTGTTACACAATCACGCATAACATAAAAATTAAATGCATAATTTTCAACCGAAAAGTATCGAATTACTAGGATTCGCATTGAAGCTATTAACAAGTTAAGTATACATTATAACTAAAAAAAATATGAGTAAATTATGTTTGTATTTCTTGTTATAGCAATGTGTATAAAAACGCTGCCCATAAAAATTTTCTAACAACCTCGTCTTGCCCCTTACCCGGAAATTCGACACCTATTAGAGGGAGAAGGAGCTATAATAATCCTATATATATATAAATATATATAAAATTATGTACTATATACTCAAGGAAAGTTTTTAACATGTTTAGGGTGGGTGGGGACTATGTACAATATGTATACATAGATTAATAATGATATATTACAATTATTGCGTAGGGAAATTAGGTGTACTTACTTACAGTTTAGTAGTTTATTTTATTATTATTATTTTTGTCATAAATAAAATCGAGAAATTTTTACCTACTTAGCTTTTAGAAATTGATATTTCTCAGAAATGTTTGTAAATCGTTAACGTCCGTAAAATATATTATTAAATAACTATAACTACAGACAAATCATCGAATATTATTATTATGGATATTGGATATTGATGACAACTTTCGAAAAATAAAAAAACATCGTTATTAATGAACAGCTCGGTGTACATAATAAAAATTAATAATACTTTAAAGTAGGAATTGTGAGTAAAAGTGTAAAACTCGGATATTTTATTAAATTGTGCTAATATTTTATTTGATAGATATTTAGATTATAATACGTTACTAATCGTATGAAGAGAGAAATGACCGATAAAACTAATAAATGAATTGATTATACGTAATTTAGTTTATTTGTCAGTGTTTCGTTACATTATACCGCGCGTGAGTATAAATACAATTTTAATTACTTAAAGGCACGTCTATTATTGAAGTGACCGGACGAAAAATGTCCAAATTGAATAGTTAAAAGTACCCATCTAATTGATTTGTATTTTCGAAAATGTACAACCATTGTCACGCGATGTACAAATTATTATTTTATAATACTGTTTTTTTTTTTTTTAGTTAAAATATTAAAAATATAATAGTCAGTGTACATCGGCATCGGAATTGAGATTTTATGCCAAGTCACTTGACTTGGCATTATAAAGTATAAATTAATATTGATATAGATGTACATCGATATAACAATGAACCTAATGACTACGTACAAACTTTATGATAATATAATATATTATATAATTATGGTTTTGAACGTTTGGTGGACTTTGTGCCCTCCCCCCCTTACATTAAAAAGTAGGTGCTTAATAGTCACCCAAGATTTATCTGTATAATTTATAAACTACTGTGACTCAATATGACTCCGAACTTGGTGATTGAAATCTGTAATTTGTAACCATATAAAAAAAAGTACTTGGCCTGCTTATAGATATCTTACTTAATACACAGTTGAATTTTCCGTCTCTGTATAACGCAGTACAATTTTTTTTTTAAAATATGAACTATTTAAATAGTTACAGTTATTAAACAACGATTTTTTTTGGTAATGATTTGAATATTTAGGAAACTATGAACTGATGACGAAGTTGTCTTCAGATTTTTCTCGGTTAGAAATAGATAGTAGGAATTTTAATGTTTAAGACCGATATTAAAGGCTGTTTCGTTTGGTTTACATGAATACATTTTCGCTGTGTTTTCTATTAAAAAAATGACCACGATTTCAGATCAAGTAATATTTTTATTGATTTGTTCGAGCCTTCAGCGGAAATTTCACCTTCAACTACGGCGCAGGTGACTGTTGATGAAAGTATAACCGAGTGTTCGGTTCAAAGGGCTTCGCTTTTAATTTGAATTTGTACATTAGTGAAAATATGGCCAAACTTTATTCGATAAGGTTAGGATTTGTAAGCTATATTTATAATGACCTCTATTCAAAATTAATTAAACCGTTACTTATCGTTATTCGGTTCTTATGGTATTTATGCAAAAGTAATCCAAAGGCTCAAAGTATTAATAACTCTAAAATTATGTCGTGCCTATGGATAAATAATTTGAAACTTCACAAATAATTATTTTTAAGATTCTGAGCAAAGGGTCATTTTACTACAATGTAATTTGCCGGCAAAGGGATCTTATTATGGACGATATACTATAAGATTTTATTCTTTATTAACGTTGTATTATATGAGACTACGATAATTTACGATTCTAACGAATAGCGGGGGCGACCACGGGAACAAATTTCGGGGGGGAGGGGGGAGGGGTATGAGATTCGCTTAATCTATCACGTCATAATCTATATAGTCTGTCACGTTTGACCTTTGTAACGTTATTGTAAACTAACTGAATTAATTCGAAATTTAAATACAAACCGAAGGGTAATAATTTATATATTATTTCGGAGAGGGTTTGAACACGGTCACCCTCCCTCCGCGTTTGTTGCCGTCGACGAATAAAATATTATAACGTTAAATATCCGATCGGCTAATGTTATTATAGGTATGACGTACAGTTGCCTGCAGTTAGCGCGCGTACCTATATAATATTTTATTATTATTATTATGTGAATCGGTCGGAAAAGACGACAGAAGAAAGTGATATGGCTCGCGGAGCGTGAATGTGTCATCAACCGCATTCTTAGACGAAATCCATCGGCCAGATTCGGTTTTTTTTTATTTTATTTTTTATTTACGGCCGCATGCACGGAACGAAAGTTCGCCCAGGGCCAAGTCGACTTCCGCCGCCGCCGCGGCCGTTGCCCGGCCATTATAAAACATACGCGCCGTCTGCATTCCGTGAATTAATGGAATTCTCCGCGGGTATACATTATAATAATATACGAGTGTATAAAATTATTGTGGTCGCGCCTTTCCGTACCCATACGCAATAATAATAATAATAATCGAATATTATAAACCCGTAATAAATAAAATAATATCGCGGGCCGCAATCGGTTTTTTTATTTTCGATCGCGATCACCCGGACGGGCCCGGCGAGAGGGAGTGACAGAACGGATTGCGTAGCCCTAGGGCCCGGGCCTTCTCTGAGAAGCCCCGGACCACCCGATCAACGCTACCAGGTCTCATTTTTTTAACTAATTTTGATAATTATCTGTAGTTTAATTTTAAAATATTTTACTTAAAAAAAAAAAAGAAATCAATACGTATATTATACTAAATGTTAATAATTTAATAATGTTTTTTATACCGTATATTATATGCGTTAGTGACAATATGATTTTTGCTTTTGAATACCTTATACCTCAATTTTATACCTTTTTTCTTTTGTAATACCCATTATTTAAAGGACGACGCTTGACGTTAGTGGTAATAAGTTTAATATTTCACGTTGGGAATAATTAGTTTGTCCCTGGGGTCCTTAATTTCTTTCCACGGCCCCGGACAATATAATATTAAGAAAAATTTGGTTCACGTGTGGTTTTAGGACGAAAACAAGTAACATCCGTCTAGATACGAACACGAAAGATTACTGCTCACAAAATATACTATAGGTACCTATACCGGTATAAAGATAACAAATATTCAAATATCTTAGATAAGATAATAGAATGAATTATCAGTAGAATTTATCTGTAGATAAAACAATAGATTATGTTTTATTTTTATTTTGGCGGCTAATATTAAACATATGGTTATAATGTTCTGAACAATAATGTTTATTTAAGGAATAGATGTAAAGGCGTTGAAATAATTCTATAAGTGCACAGGATATATTTTACTATAAATATTTTTAAATTTTAAATATTTATTATACTATGACTTTGAGATTTTAAATTAAAAGTCAAACCTATACAATTTGTTTTTTATATTTTTAACTTATCTTCTATTATAGTATATAATTATTATCTACAAAAACTGTTTTAGATAAATTTAGTTAAATAAAAATTTAAAAAATAATCACTGAACAACATCTATGAGATGTGAGCTTGGCATTTTTACCAATTTTACACTGTCCATCGACATGAAATTATTTATGTTCTATGTAGTATAACACACTGTTTTTTTTTTCTGTAGCCGTGGCACCAAAAAATACTATGTATGCTTGATTTTTAAAACTAATTAAAAAAAGGTTTTTTGTCCCCGTAGAGGAACCTTCCGCGGCTTGAAAACGTTGTGTGAAGATATAATCTCCCTCTCCTGAGTCCTTCCTAATATCCACATATGATGGTTTTATTAACTGATTTTTACATTTTTTTTTAAACCATGTACATACTCATGTATATTATATGTCCGAGAAAACCATCACGCATCAGCAGTTATAATAATATTTTTGTTCGTGAGAGTGCGAGAGTGCATATAGGTAGGTACCGCACAGTTTTCCATTGCACGACGAAAGTGAAAGAGATAGGCGAATGTTTTCAAAAGGATATAATAATAATTTGTACAATAATTAGTACCCAGCAGAAGTCTGATTGAATGATCCGTATTTCGGATAAAATAAAAATCGATTCAATGGATCGACAAATGTCCATTTAATCGTGTATAATGGATTCGTAATATTTAACCCGATAATGATTTAATCTGGCATTCCGAACGTATCAGGAGTGAAGAGAGGAAAACAGTAAATCAAATATACAAAAATTATTACTAGATAATTTGAAATGTTTATTTTAGATGGTCAGAATGGGTTGAATATGGAACGACCACGCGGCTATTGTAATTTTGAAATAATAAATTGGATTGTATAATAGTCCGGACCAATAACATAGTCTGGATTATATGGATCATCACATTTTAGTCAACCCGAACCAGGAATCCGGTGTTTGTATTGATTCAGATTAAGTGTTCAGCACTAATGCGAATCGAGTATAAAAAAACGTAAAGTCGGTTTAAAATCTAAAGAATGATTTTTAAATTAGATTTTGCATCTGTAATCTGTATAAGTGAATGGGATACAAAAACAAAACCGACATGTTTCACACTATGAGTACGTCGCATTACTGTGGTAGGTGGGACGTTGGGAAGGTAGGATTTATTTGGCATTTTAATTTATATTGCATTGATAACGAAAAACAACTCTGAGGAAAATTCTGTTAAACATATTTTGATAAACTTAAATTGAAAATTACAATAATAAATTGTCCGTTTTTTTAAGCTTCAAAAATTTGTATCCATATATAACTCCATAAAAAACCAAACGAACTCAAAGAATAAAATACCTAGTAAAATATTTTAAAAATTGCACTACGCTTAGAAAGTTCTAATACTGATAAATATTCGGTGAAATTAAAAGGTCTCTACGATTATTTTATACTGAATTACAATAAAAAACCTAATTAAAGATAACAGAAATCGCTAAATTCCGTAAATATTCCTGTAGTAATAGTAGAAGTATTTCCGAGTTTTTTAAATTATCAAGAAAAATGTAAGTAAAAGGAAAGTGAAAAATATTGCCTCTTAAATGCATAGACTAGACAAAATTTGCTATACCTGCATAAAGCCCCCCCCCCCCCAAAGTTAATGATCGAAGTATGGATACGGATTTCTAGAGAAAAGTTGTTGATAGATGGAGAAAAAAAAAACACACTGCATAGTATGACTAATACTTTATTTACTACGCTCAGCGTCGAAAAGGATGCGGATCAGAAGTCACGGAAATAATGATGATTTACGCCGGGTGATGCCGGGACGACATAAATTGCCGGAAATAAAATGTACAATTTTGTGTGTTGGATTACATAGAATATTTTGTTTTCTTAAAAAACGTATCCTGCAGGTCTTACACGTGCAGTAAAATTATATTTCATATTCATATTGTTCTATCGTTGCATACGAACTGCACTCGACACGATTCCGGTGACGCGGACGCTGCGATTTCGGCGATTTCCGTCATCTGGTCGACGTCACGAGTCCAACTGAAACATAATAATTAATAATAACAAAATGGCCGAAATTACATGTTACCGATAGTTCCGTGTGATTTAATCGATGTAGAGTGTACCTACTTATGTATGAAAGCATTGAGTGAATTGCGTCCCCAATGCTTGTATACCGTATACTGTTTTTATAGGCGAATTGCGTCTTAGTTGTGACTCAGCCTAATTGGATTTTTATTTCGTTAAATTTAGCCGATTCAATTTTTGTTAAAATATGGCATGGTGTTTCTCGTATTTTTATTTCAGTTACATTTTTGTTTGTATTTATTTGTAATTCGTCATCATAATATTATATTAGAGATATGGGTACTATATACCGAATAGTTCGGACTATCGGAAACTTCGAATTGTATTGTTTTGTACATGACCGAATAGTATAGCGAACAGTTCCATACGCTGTCGAATAGTTCGATAAACCAATGAAGAATGCGCTAGGTGCGTGACTCACTGATAGGACTGCTCGTTTCGTTTACTATACTCGTATATCCACGAATAACACTATAATAACCGAATCCATTTCGTCTGACATCAAATAGTTTTTTCACTGTCGAATAGTACGGTGGACGGTAGTCAACAACTATCGAACAGTTCGATAGTGACTATTCGGTACCTGGTGCCCGTCACTATAACGTATACCAGAAAATATAATAAATACAATGTTATTTATGACGAAATTACGAAATTTCTATGAACGAAACAATAATTGTTTAGAGTTAAAAATAAAAACGCGTTTCTCGCGCGATATCTTTCTGGGTTAACGCTGATAAGTTCGCGTTACGACGATAAGCCGAATCAGAAGTCGCAACTGTATAGACGCAATTCGCGATACGTATTACGTCTTGTTATTTATAAAAAGTCAAAAAAAAAATTCACCTTAGTATACTGTTTGAAAATATTAGTGACGCGATTCGCCTAGCCGGCAAACATATTGGATACGCAAATCGCCTAGTCTCTATTCGCTAAAATGTAATCGTTTCGGACACAATTCGCTAAAACGTGTGCGTGAAACACGGAGAGTACTCGCGATTTCGCATCTAGCCGGACAACCGCAATACGATTTTATTTTGTTAGTTACGGTAAAAAAAAAAATAATAATAAATGACCGGGCGTGGCCCGTTATTAGCGTTTCCGTGTTGTCGCGATGAGGACACAATACGTGTTGGACAGCCGCGGTTAATAATTATCCGGCTGACGGTTTTTTATTTTTTTTTATTTTAACTAACCACAAATATTCACGGGTGTATTATGTTTTTATTATTGTTCGTTTTTTGCTATTACCGCGGAAAATATCGGCCGATCACAATGCCCACACTATATTATTTTAATCGCATAATATATTGTTATGTCGTTTCGGACCGTAAAGACTAATACTATTCCATACGCGTACAGATCGGTTCGGTTCCAATAGGATAGTTCCCGATACTGTCTAAAGAAAACTGTGGAAGAATGGGTCATCAGTCGGGCGATTGAGGAAGACCTTATGCGGAAAAAAAGGTCTTCATTATGGTCTCGAGGAAGGAAATCCTAAGGCTGTGTAACCGGGTATATAAGAGAGAAATTCTATAGAGTACGAGGATAATGTGGGTAGCTGTTTATTTTATTTAGCGGTATGGTCTTGTAAAGGCCGAAAAAGAGAATATATTATACAGAGTGATTACGTTTATCACGAACCAGCGTTTTTCTCGGAGGACTTTGAGTGAAGTTGAATTCTGTTATGTTTTTATTTTAAACTATTATCGTAACGTATACCTTAAATGAATATTGAGTATACACTTTTGATCATACAAATAGCAACCCTTCCATATTTGAACACAGATTCGAATAGAGAATATTTTTTACGAATAACAATAACAGCGGATTCACCGTTAGTGAGTTATAACAATTTAGACAGACCGGAAGAAGGGAAATAGACTTCCAATTTTAGATGTTATTTTATCATCAATGGTATAACGAATAGGCACATAATAGTGAATGCCGTATAATACTATATTACATTTGAAAATGATGATTGAGTTTGTCGAACGAGACGAAAAAGAAAACCGTCGAAATAAATGGTCGTCTTACTTTAATTTGTCGCTTTGCAGTAGAAAATCCAATTCGCTCGGTGAATTGTTAGTTGCGAAGTTGTTAGTCTTCATATTTTCGCAAATTTTATTCTTTAAACAATCGTCTAAATAACCGGGCAAATCGTCTACATCGTCGTGAATTTTTCTTCCCGCGACTGTTTGCTTTCCCAGCGCTTTATATCGTCCACTAATAACATTAACTGGATTGTATGAAGTCGCGTTTTTTTGAAACCTGTGTAAATAAAAAAAAAAAACGTACACGATGATCGGTGATATAAACTTCTTCAAAAATATGTTTATCGCCCGTAAAGAGATGATCGTTATTTCGATTTGTTTCTCACGGCCGGTGTTCCGAGGACAAATTATTTCACCCCCCATTAAGATTTCGGACAAATAAAAACTACATTAATTATCTATAGTTCTATTTGTATTGTTTATGTTTTCTGATAAAAAGAAAAAAAAATCACTTCCACTCGAGTTAAGATGTGTGCAGAATAAAAAATATGAATTTAGAAAGGGAACACGGAGTGCGGATAAATATGAAAATACTACGTTAAAAAATACTCTGGAGCGTATCAATTATAGTATTAATTGTGTACTATCTACGCGCTCTAATAACGGAAGACGAACATCACGATAACATTTTCACCTATCCATAAAAGGAAAAAAAAAGAAAAAAAAACAAAAGTTGTTCGTTATACAACAATAAGTACTGCCGCGGGATGACGTTTATTCGTATATTTTTTAGAGACGATTTCATTATTAGTATATATATTTTTTTAATTTTTTTTTTTGAAAATCCGTCCGATCAAACGCGTTTTTAAACGGACCGTGTCGCGTGTAACTAACCTATATCGCGTATCACTATAGCGTACATTATACATTATACTCCGAGGTGAGAATATTACGGAAAAAAAGAAATAGTAATAATCTCGAACTATTTGTATAGTTTGCGGCGGCCCGGTCGTGTGACCTTTGTAAATCCGAGATCTCTCTAACGCAGTGGTGCATCGCGGTAAACTTGGTTGTCGACTCGTAAACGATACTTTTTGATAGTATTTTGTACATAGCAAATACGATTTTTATTTTAAAAGGTATTTAGAATAGGTATTTGAATAGGTAATTCACTGGAAAAAAATGCATATGTTTCTGTACGGTTTATTATCCCATATATAGGTTGAGTCGTTAATATTCGGATTTATACATATAAAATATGACTAGGTATGTGACTGGTTCAGACGGTTATGGTAAACCTTTTTTTCAAAAGTATTTCAAAATAAATATTCGATTTTGATCGATAAATATATTATAGCGAATTATTTAACAGTAAAAGTATATTTTTTAAGTATACGTTTTCTCAAACACTGAAAAAGTATTCGAATATTTTTATTAATTATTAAATATACTTTTGTATACGAATCCTTCACGAATCTGTATGCGAATTGGGAATTTCAAATGGGACTTTGGTGCGCTTGAAGACGGAATTCACGTCGTACGCGAATAATTTACAGATCTCTTAACATAGTCGGTTTTAGTATTAAAGAGTTGTAGGAATATTTTTACAAAAAGTATACTGCAAACTATATTTATCGGCCCGAACTCGATATACTGCTTCGAGGATGTCGATAACCCTAAAACTTCAGTTCAGTGAGGTTCCCATAAATTTGTTTGAGGCCTATAACACATCCAGTGCCTCGCATGAGGTATTTTATATATTTTTTTTGTTATGTATACTGTTTATAGGGAAACAGATGTATCAATTTAAAAAAAAGCCATTTTTTTTTTTTTTTTTTTCTAATCCCCGGGTCCACATAACCCATAATTTGGCGCCGAGTCTCGTATTTGCATGGCTCTCGGTCCGAGGTATGCCGTATACGTGAACGCGTCCTCGCGCGCCGTCGTCGTAGCCGCGGCTGATCGAGACGCTTTCGCCCGCGCGAAACGCGTCTGCTGATTATTGTGCGGCGAGGCGGACAAAAGAACGACCCCGCCCGTGATTTATGGACGCGGCGTATCGCCGTAAAAGGACCGGCTTTTATTCGCCGCCGTCGCCGCTGCCGCCGCCCGAGTGCACGGATTTATGCATTGTGTGTGTATATATGTATTTACAGGTTTACATATATTACACCCTATACCGGTGAAATTGCCCGATTCGTGAGATCGCGTTATATTTTCGTTCGTTTTGTGCTGTTGGTTTTGACATTGTAGGCTCATTAAAGGCCTACGAAACAAACTTAAGGGTAAGTAATCGTACACTTGAATACGTTGGTTTTCCGATATTTCGGTTTCCAAGCGAATTACTGTAGTATGTGAAAACAAAATTTAAAAACCGCCGAAAAATTAATGTACACATATATGTATATGATTTTCTTATACCTTTGGGTTTGTTAATAGGCTTGTTAACTAAAAATTTCACCGACGGGGCCAATACAGTAAAATAGTATATTATTCGTACGGTCAGGACACCGCGACAGTGCGAAATCAAAGACGAAAATTGCGAAAAACTGACCTCCAACGAGACCTGCAATCGATCATAACGGACGCGAGAGATGGATAATTCAGGCATAGAAATGCCAGGAAATTTCGGGGGAAATTCAGAAATATAGGAGAATTTAAAAAAGTATTAAGAGTAGAACTATTAAAGGAAATGAAAAAAAAATTCAATAGCATCAGAATTTCCTAATTGTTCCGGAAAATCTGTTTTTCCCCGGTTTTTCGGAAATTTTGATCACTATAAAAAAAAAAATTATAGAAATATAGATGTTATTAAAGATTATACAAATTTTCGGAACCATAAACACATCGATATTGTTGTAGAAATACGATTGAGAGGTTAAGGTTTTCTGGATAGTTCGGTCGAACACGATGAAAATATTATTATAGTGAATTGTCCGTATACTTAAAGCAGTCCTGAGACTTTTTATCGCCGATGTTATCAAAAAAAAAAGTGGTTAAACCTGAACGAAAAATAATTTCAAAAATAAAATAAAAACGTGTTTTCCCGTGATTCCCCGGTTTCTTCCCTGTTCCAATTACTGCAATTATCAATTGTCACTCGTAAATGTATTTACTTGCCCGCGAATCGCTGTCTCGTTCAGTTTTGCCCGTACACCGTATTAAACGGTCCACTGGTTTCTGTGATTTGCCAAAAGCACTAAATTTCACATATTTAATATAGAACGAGTTGTATTATATCTTATCATCACTATTTTATTATCCGTAACCAAATGGCGACTCAATACATAAACTGAAAAAAAATACGAATTCATGTGCGAGGAATCCCGTAGCGAAACATTTATGGATTGAGAAATGAAGCTCCCCGAGTCTCGAGGAATATGTGTGCGAAATTCGACGCCATTTTTTTCGGTAGTTTTTCAGTGTACAGATCACGAACGAATACATTAGTTTTTATATTGCTGCACGAAATAACAACTCAATCTTTTCAAGATTGCCAAATAAATAACGCTTTATCGAAACGGTAAAAATGTATATTTAACCGCGAAACAGCTGCGATAATTACGACGCATGAATAATGTAAAATATAAGAAAATAGTGAAAGGGCTCCGGGGTGGATTTCTCCTGCATCACACTCATCAAACATATTACCTATTGCATAATATATGAATACGCCACTGCGGTGACACTATCGTGTAGACACATAGGTGTACAACTAATGACAATGTGATAAAACTTGCATACGGGTACTCACTGATAAGGATATTGCGTGGAATTCACTTTGATGATTGTGGGCGGAAAAGACGCGAGCAACAGTCCGACCGGCAGAATAGTGGCTAGAACGGACAGCAAGCTTCTCCACGGGTCTTTTCTGCACAAAAACCGCAAATATTATTATTATTATACCGACGGCTGCGTCGTTGATGGATAACGAGGAGTTATATTTTGATTTTTTTTTTTTTTTAACTTTTCGCCCGTACGTGGATTTGAAAATGTCAGAGGGCTCACTATTTTATAAACACATGTACAGTTTTACCTAAATCTTACCATATATCTCATATTTTTATTTTCCTTAAACTATTCGTTTAACAAATACCAAAATATAGCTATTTTTTTTTTTTTTTTGTATGTTATAACATTTTAATAGTGTTAGCATATTATGAAAAATCACAAGACAATCTACACTTTTTCTCTGCTATCAATATAGAAAAAAAAGAAGCGTTTATCTCTCTCGATCAATTTGTTATAAATACAATTAGTGTTTTGAGGATGTAGGTACAAGACAAATATTGATTTTTTTTTTTTAATATGAAAACCGCGGGGGGCTGAGCTCTGTCTTATCGAGCTCATGAGGGGCAGCAGTCCCAGAATCCCCCTGTACACGGCACCCCGGCACGCTTATATACACGCTTACTTTTTATGAGTGGTGATGGCGGTGTTGTGATACGAGGACTTTGGCGGTCCGTCTTGTACCGCGTCTGGATAATAACTATTGGAAATCATGTCGTTGTTTCCGTGATATTGTTTGCCAAAGTGTTTGTCGTACAAATCGTTGTCGCGGTGAACAAAGTTTGGTGGCAGGAGTTGGCCTTCGCCGGCATCGTGTTTTATCGGCTTGTACTGCGGCAAGACTACGTTAAACGCGTACGGGCTCCTGGGCTCGGCTGCGGGTCCGTTCGACCTTACGTTGTTGTTTCCGTCGTACTGGACGTGTCCTCCTGCGGAATAATAGCGTTCTCGGGTGGTGGCCGCCACGGTCGGGAACGCCATTACTTTCTTCTCGTTAGGCTTCGGCGTCGGCCGATCGTACGCGGCGGCGTCCGGTCTTTTGAGGTGCCGCGGTTCGTAAAACGGCTCGCTAGTGACCTGCCCTGGATCGAGTTTCTCGCGCACGGGATCGCCGTCGTGGGGTCGGTAATGAGTGCTGGGTTTGAAGTCCTCGAAAACCTGACTCGGGCTGAACGGCGACGAGACGTTTAAAAAGCTCCGAACCGAAACGGCAGTGGCCGTGACGGCGGTAACGGTGGCCGCGGTGGCGGCGGTGATTTCGGCGGCGGTTTCGGTGACGTGCCCGGCGATTTTGTCCTGCGAGTCGAGCTTCTTGGGTCCCTCGGTAGCCGGCGTCCGTCCGTCGGTCGACTCTGTGCCGGCTGTGGACGCCGAGGAAGACGCGGTCATTACTTCGACGTTTGATGACGGCGGCGGCGGCGATGACGACGACGACGACGGTCTCTGGTGGGAATGGCAAACCAACATAAACATCAACAGTATACCCTGTGAGCAAGAGGAGTTATCACAATAAGGGATGTGAATATTCAATGCACTATGAGACCCTAAAAAATACATTTAAAACATCGGAAAAATACGGTGTAAAACGCAAAATTCACTACCGATATTGCCGCGGCCGCGGTTAGCCTTATTATCTTATCGTACAATCGACAAATCGAACGTCATTAACTCGTGTGTATACAGCTGCTCGTGTAACACATTCACAAACGAAAAACGTCAAATATAAATAGGACGTACAATGCAGCCCGCATAAAAAATATGCGATTCGCGGCACAAATGGCGGATAAAATGGCGCAAAGCGAACCGGAAAGGAACATTATACAGGCACGGCGGCCTGATAACGGGGTGAAACGTCGAAAATCCCATAATAAGAGTTTCGAAATATTGAATTCGCCGTTAAACGGCGGCGGCGGTCCAAACCGCGGCCACGAGACAGCCGCGTTGGTGTACGACTTACTTTTTCCATGTTGTCGAACGATAATCGCCGCTGTCGGTTCCTCGCATTGTCGCTCATCGCGTCCGAATGAACCGAACGGCGGACATTTTTTATAGATAAGTGCGAACGCGGCGCGGTTTTATCACCGAGAACTCCGTCAATTGTTTTTACTCAAGACGCGGAAGAGTGTGCGTACAAATAGCGGGCATGTATTTTAATTATTATTTTTTTTTTTTTCTCCATTATTTTTCGTACCCGTTCAGCGGCAATACATATGATTACAATAACATAATAGCTCCCGTAACCGTAATACACGCGCGGTGACAGTTTTCCCCGTTGACTTTTACTTTTACATAACTTCAATAATTTACACGGGCGTAACGTCGCGCGTTGTCGCGTCCTCGTGTGTGAGATGGCGTAACACCGCTGCTCTGTATGCGCCGCCGTTATTATAACAATACAATATCGTGAATAGTTTCCAGAGACTCCAAAACGGTTAGCCGTATGGTACCGTATGGTGTACACTGCGTACAGCGTACGCAACATATTATTACGACCCGTGCACGCGACGATCATTATTGTTATTTTCCGCAGACGACAAAAAGAAAGTGTACATAGGTATCTAAAAAGACGTCTTCGGGGACGATAATAATATTATTGCCGTGATAATTATAATATATGATACCTAGGGAACGCATTTATACGCATACTTAAAATCCACAAAATAGCGCTCGAAAACGTCATAAAAGCGTTAAAAAAAAAAATCATTTAAAAAATATTTAAAAGAGCGATAAAAAACGGAGGGGTTTTAAACAGTTTCCCCGTCGATTATTTCTAACTTACTAAAAATAATCTGTTCACACTAAAACAACGATTATTACAAAGTAATTTTCTTCAAATATATTTGTACGCGTTATGAAAAAAAAAAAAAAAATACTTTGTGTTTTGTCATTTGTCAGTGCTAGAAAATTTCCTTTAACAGAACCGTTATAGTGATGACTTTTAAAACCCATTTGTCGCTTTTACTTGTTCGGATATTTTTAAGCGGTTTATCGCGGATTTTAATTACATATAATATCGTGCGCGTCAATAATATTATTAGATTTACCGATAATTGGCGCCAGACAGTGTAAATAATGTGTTATTTGTGCCTATTTAAAATACCGATTGAACAAAAAACGCACATCGCGAAGTCGCATTTTTCTAAAAAAAACCTGATTTTAGTCGAATAGTGGAAATTTCACTCGAAAAAAACGAGTTGTATTCGTAAGGGTGATAGGTTTATAATATTATAATTATTATTATGTGGTTTTTTTTTTTTATTAATTAGACATCGGTTTTTATTTTTTACCGGTTTCCAGTTTTTGCTTTATAAAAAAACGTCTGTATTAAAAGTAATAATTCTTCGTTATAATGTTTTATTTCGTTTGTTTCTATATATTCGAAAAAAGGAAAATTATAAATGCATTTTTTACTTTCACTTTTACCTACCTATATTGGTTTTCTAACGATGCGGTTTTTTAGGATGTCTGTTAGCATTTAAAACGCACTATTCTCTAAAAGTTTTTTCCGGCCTAATATCTACGAATATTTTATAAACGAAAATCGAACACGCGCGTGGTTTTCGAAATAAGTATTTATTTTTAAAATTTCTCAGTAACGTTTCTAGAATAATGATAATGTAATAATTTACTGAGAAATCGTTAGAATATCAAATCGATTTTTGAAAGAATTTAAATTTGTTTCTTCTATTATTTACTTTAGTAGCTTAAATTTATGGCTGGTAAATAATAATGACTGAAAGGTAATATTCTTAAAAAAAAAAACAAATACAATTTTAGAAAACTTGTCATATTGTTTTACGATTTGAATTATTCATAAATTGTACGATTCTCATACCAAAAATGTATTACATCATTGAGAAACTATGAGTTTTGTTACTGTAGAGGTCACAAATTATTTTCGAATGCGATGATTGGGTGAATTATTTGTTTTCAAATGTACTGCAGTAATAAATTATACACCATAATGTGATGAATTGAGAGAAATTTCTGTTATCATGTCTATAATTATTCTGTTTATTTGTGTAATTTATAGAGACCTAAATGATGAAACATAATAGTCGCGGTGTGAGAATAAGGTGCTGGAATACTGCAGAAGTATCTTTTCGAAAAAAAACAATTTAAATCATCAACATTCAATTAACGAATCACAGTATATTTTAGAGTTGGAAATTACAATTTTGCGCATTTATGAAATATAATTTACAAATGGTTTAAAATTTAGGCTTAGAAGAACGGAAAATAAATTGCATATCAATGTTTATAATATGATAAATTGCCATATAACGTTATAATATATACATTAAAAATTGCTATAATTCATAAACGATATGTTATGCTTAATATTAAAATACGTGGAAATATGTTTTCTTTTTTTCAAATCTGTGTTAAAAATCAGAAGTTGAAAATTCAGGGACTGGAAAACTGAACCAATAAGAACCGTTTCTGGAGTCCAAAAACCCGTGAAATATCGGGATCCAGTACGTAACCGAAACCAGAACCTTCTAAACACTGGTCTATAAAGACAAATTTTAAAATATCTAGATAAATATAAGAGATAGACATATTTTCCAGATGAACAAACAATTGAATTATCTAGGTTAAGATAGAACACGATTAGGAAATGTTTATCTAAATAAAAGAGCTGATACTGGTGACGGGTATGCCACTGTTGTAGGTGGTAAGTGAAAAAAGTAAGATGCATATAATTATATAATTTGAATCATATAAGCAACTTTATACCATTGCTAGCAAAATACCAATCGTGAACCGAGTTCAGTTATCCATGTTTTGAAATGCTGTAATATTTACGCTTTTCTTCAAAATATCATCCTATAATGATGTAATGATTATAAAAAATTAATTCGTTAGGCTCAACTATTTTTTTCATTTAATTTGCAATCATTCCTCTTTGATCAACCAATGTTTTCCGTATAATACCTACCAAAGAAAAACTACGTAAAAACCTAGATATAATGTAAAACGTATTGAACATTTTGCCACGTCTAGAAAAGGCCAATAACCATGTTTTCTGCAAAAATTTCAAGTCTCTATGAATATTTTTAATTCAATTAAAACAAAAAAACGTATCTAAGCTATAAGAAATTGTTATGGTTTTTTCGTTATTCATATTCAATTTAATTATAATTATTGTGTAATATATCCATACGAAAAAACTAATTTAACGAGAGACTATCTAATTAGGTTGATAAAAATTAAATACAATTTCGTATAAATAATAACTAACTTTTTTGGTTTTCGTATTATTTTCTAATGACGATCATAAACTATTCAATTCAATAACGCCCGTAGTTTCGCGTTATTGTTTTAAATCAAACATAATATTTTTATTTTTTTTAATTCTGAGTTATTTTATACACGCATCCGGTTTTTTTAAAAATATAATTGTATTATTTGAATACAACAATAGATACCTATCTACTATTTATACACGTTTAACCACTAAATTCAATGTTTCCGACAACATAATACTGCAGAAGCCAGTGATTATAATCATATCATTTTTTTTTTTTTTTTTTATATATCTAAAAAAATTATTTCTCGCTGAAATAATTATGTCGGTTACTAAAAACATTATGTGTATAATATTAACACAATAGTTTAATGTGAATACTTATTTTGAGTTGAAAAATGAACTTACAAAAACTCTCACGTTAATTAATATATTTAAACAAGTTTTTCGCGTTAATGTTGTTGAAAAATATGTTTTTTAATGACCAATGAACGCTACATGGACATTGAAATATGAATTTTTTATACTACCTATTATTTAAGCATCACGAACGTATGGTTTTTTACAAATTGCATAGAAATTAATCGTACCACTGTTGTAACTGGGATCATCTGAAAACTGGAATCATTTTGAAACATTTTTTTTTTTTTTTAATGTATTAGCCATTCTCTTAAGGCAATGATTGGACACCGATGTTTGTTTTCATTGTCTAACACACATGCAACGTAGCAATTTAAACCAATTTTTTCCTTCACCGGTCCGATCGATGTAGCGAAGTGATAATAACTCTAAAAACAGATTTGAATTCAAGGTGATGGCGTGTATGCGAGGTAGGTCAAGTCGCCTTTTTGAATTTTAGTTCTTATTTCAAACGATTTGATTTGAAAATGTACAAAAAGTAAACTTAAATTTAATTGAAAAAATTTGACCTGGCCGATCTCGTTCACTTGCACTTCACGCTAAATGATTCAAATCTGTTTTAAGAATCCTTATCGCTTCACTAGGTACGACGAAGGTTGAACCTGTCGCAGGAAAATTAGTTCAAATTGCTGAGGAGTATACATGCTGCGTATCGGTAAAATATCGTTATTCAATCCCCCCTTAATATTATTAATTGTTATACTTCGATAAACCTGCTTACTTTATGGAATGTATTTAATATTGTTATTGTGACGATTTCATAAAATGTTATTTACGGAGTAATCGAATAGGCAAATTATTTAACTTTAAAACTCGAGTCTGCATAATATTAGGTAATTCGCATAATAAAAAGCTGGTAGTATGTCGCATCATGGTATCACTAAAATCAAAAACACAAATTTTGTCCACCCTTATGCCCATAAATCAACAAAATAAAATATATGTAGTGATATTGTCGATTTTTAAAAATGATTTAAGAAAAATATTAGGAATCTAGAACGGTTTTTAAACAGTGTACGCGATATAAATAATTTACAACATTTTTCGTTTAGTAAAAATAAAATAAATATTATTTTCCGAGAGAAAAAGCACCGAAAAAGTACCTTTTAAGCGGTGAACTGTCAAACATTTCAAAATTGTTTCAAATAAAATACCACGAGGCGAAAAACCCAAATCTTTTGAGGTACGGGATATCAAAATCAGATTATTTTTACTGGACGAAAAAGTGTTTTTCGTGAAAGAAACTCATGTTCGCTACGCTCAGAATCGACGAGAATATTACTTGTAAGTCATAATTAGCTTTTCAAAACTGTAACTCACTAACAACCGGTTTTTCAAAGATTAAAATTATTTTAATCATTTTCTAGACTTGATAAACTTTTTAAATAATTCTGAAGATTTTTGAGTAATTTATAAGCATTTGCAACCGTCGAGATTTTTAGATTTTATCGAGTAAAATCATGTTGATTTTGAAAAGTTACGACGTTACAATTTCGTTGTTTTAAATTCGCACACTTTATGTTTTCTGTCAGAAATCCTAAAAAACTTGTCCAGTTCCTCACTTTAAAATGGAGTACTTTGCTCATAGGCATTATTGTATCTAATCACATTAAAAATCAATATTCATGTAGTTGAATGTTTTTATAGTTTTCATTGAATTCATCTTTTTGCATCAATACAAACTAAATAGGGTCCACTATGGTCCGGTCCAGTTTAAAAGTCAATAGACTATCACTGCTCGGTGTCAACATAATATTAATACTATAACTACTGTCTATTACCGCAATAACTTATCGTAGACAAATACATTATTATCTGGGTTAATATTGCCAATTTCCTTCTCTAGTCTATCTATCTTCGCCGAAAATATTCTAAATACATGCACCTATGTAATCAAGAAGTTTATCGGACTATATCGGTGTAAAAATCCCCTCAAAAACAATACTGGAATACAATCGAGAGATTTGTTTGTGATACCGGTATTGTTTTTTTTACCCGCCTCGCAAAACGGGTCAAATATTTTATACCGCGGTATATTCCCCAACTTTTCAAGTGTTCCCGACGCCTGTTTTTTAATCCTTATATCAGATAATCAAACGTTTGCATCCGCCCCCATTATCCTAGGACGTATTTTTTTTTTATTTCAGTTGATTTTTGATTACCTTGGGGCAATGAGGAGAAAAAGACGATTAATAATACTCCGCTCAGAATCGTTTTATTTTTGCGATGATTTATTGTTGCAAATACAGTATATAATCTAGATTATTCTGTATATCCTACGTTCCTGACTATACTCATCTACAACAGTGAGTACCTACCTATGAGCATTGACCAGTATCAATTTTGTATAATAATTACAAATCTGTTAAAAACTGAATTTTACTAATGTTTTTCATAATGTTTTTTTAAAACTACAGTATAATAAGTGTATTCAATACAATTTAAAATTTGACGTTTTTTTTAATGATGATTTTCAATGCACTATTTTAATTATCGTATACTTATAAATATGGATACGCAAACAAGTATAGTCACCGTTTCCGCTCGTGATTTTATCAATTCCGTTTCGGGTGACCGACACTCGAACCGCGAAAACGGAACGAGAAGACTCTGGTTCTGCGAGTATATACCTACACGACGACGTACGTATTGTGCGAAACTTTAATAATTATCGCGATATGCCACTGAAGCACGAACAATACCCGACGATTTTACTTTTTCGATCGACGATCATTGAAAAGCAGCCCTCCGATTCACGGACCCGTCATTGCCGTGCCGAAGACGACCGTAAAACAGTCTATGAAATTCAACGATCATAACACGCGCATCATAATATCGTAAATTTCGTCCCGGGACCTATTAAATCGATTTTCGGCACGTTTTTTTTCTATCTAGTGTAATTTTTTTTCAAATTTGTTTTTCCGTCTAAATCACGTAAGTGTAAGTATTTTCCTAACGTCGCGAAATCGCTCGTACCGAAAACTATTCGCTATTGACAGTACGCCGTTGTTCTTGACGGCAGGGGCCAAACAGTTACAATAATTTTTATGACTGTCGTAATTTCTCGTTATACCGATACAGGTGAAAATTGTCGTCGGAACATGCAGATTGTTACGGTAACGGCGGTATGTCTAATCTCGCTGGCGATTCGATCCGTTTCGGGACACACGATCAATCAAAACAACAATCGAGCGGAAGACTACGATCGGGACGACTGGAAGGAACCGAGGGCTCTGAAAACGGAGTCGGTGTTAATGGGCATTGCCAAGTCGTTGATCGGCGGAAAAATCGGATCCACCGGCGGCGGACAAGTATATAATATGCCAGACACGGTTTTACGTATTTTTATAAAATTTGTCGCAGGCACGCGGGGGGAAACGGAAATTCGGAGTTATATTTTTTCGTTTTGAAAAATAAATCGAACGCAACGTATATATTATTATATTATATTGTACATTTAGAACCACTACTGTGTAGAGCCGGACGTAAACAGGAGGTCCATCCGGGGTTTCTGCAAATTGTCTTCTCTCACCACTCTGTCCAGTCCCTGTAAGTTTTTCAAGATGGCCAACGGATTTTGCGATCTTCCCGACATATTGGCTAGTATTCCTTTTATATCTAAAACAAAACGCCCCTTCCCCGCCGCCCTCCCGCTACGTCTGTCGTCGACTCTTTCCGACCATATACTATCTATCTGATATTTGGTTATCATAATAAACACCGATCGACCGGAATAAAAATCCCCAAGAAAATTAAATCTCCTCGGGATAAACATTTTGTGTTTTTCGGTTCTGGTTCCGTTGTTAGTTATTCGATTCGTTTTTGTTTTCTTAAGGGCTTTAAAAAATGCCGGTTATTACATATTACCTTCACTAGTTCGAAAAAATCAAAAAAATACAATTTTTCGGTCGGCCACTGCTCTAAAGTTGGCCACTGCTGTAAATGGAAAAATATAGGATACATGCACAGGTTGTTTAGGGTAATTTATTTTATATTCTTTATGGAACGAAAAATCATTGCAGACGAAAAACGATTCTGAGTATAACTACAAACAAAATTATGCCATACTGTTCGTAGTTTTTAATAGATTTTCGAATCTATTTTTATCAATAATACCAAAGTGTTTATTTATTGTTATTGTTTGGTTATAGTTTCAGAGATTTTGTTTCTGGGAGATTTTTATTCCAGGGTTCCACGCGTATTATATTATATTCCGTCTACCCGAATTCGTCTTTATACGGTCGTCTAGAACAGTGGTTTTCAACCTGGGGGTTGCGAGTGACAGTTATTAGGGAACCAAAAAATCACAAGTATCATATGGACATCGTATTATTCAAGTTCTATGAAACGATTTTTGAAGGGGTCGCAAAATTAAAAGGTCGAAAACCACTGCAGGTCTGGAATGACCCGCGATCGCTGCGGTCGTCCGCGGTTGCCGTATGTTATTACGTTACCGTTTTGTGTTACGTTTAGTCGCTCAGTCTGAACATGTCGAACATAGTGCTGATGCTGGTGCTCCGGGGTTTGATATGGGGCGTGTCGTACATGCAGGGCGACGGCGGTAAAGAAGCGCGTAACGAAGACGCGACGTCGGCCGGAGGACTGCTGGACGACGCGATCACCGAGACCGACGTCATGTTGTTCCTCGGGTATCTGGTGGCCGACGAGTCGGGTCACTCGGGCTGCTTGAACCGCGTGGCGTGCGAACAGCCGGACCGGGCGGACGGCTATTTCAGGGCGGCCGAAACGGTCTGGCGAACCGCGAAAATGTTCGACGGGTAAGCTATAATAAACTCAACGTTGCGTTTTATCTGGATGGGTATTATTTTTTTTTTTTTACATCCTAAACGAAAAACAAGATATCTGACCGGTTATTATCGAGCGAAACAATCGAACCGTCTAGATCGGATGTTCTCAAACTTTTTTTTTTCGCGTAGGCTCTACTCGTGTGGACGGATCTTTATCGTGCCGCTTATGATTAAAAATTGAAATTTTTCAAAAATTTGGCAAGAGACAGCGTAATGCTACACTGTAATTATTATTTACAAATTATTTTTAAATTTTTAAACAAAATTTTATGTAACATTAGATTCGTTGAAAATTGCATTTTTATCGTTATTTTTTTTAATTTATTATTTTTCCCACTAACACCGCGCAAAAATCCGCGCGGTGTTTCGCAGAAAAATTGCAGGTCAAACCCTCACCCAAATTTCGGCCTTGTTCAAGGCACTCTATAGTATCAAATAAACGTGCACGCTTACGAAATATTTTCGCGCCGAAACGCAAAAACAATCGACGAAAAATATTTTCATTTTTTCCGGTTAAAAATTGTTTACTGATTTTGTCCATTACTTATTCTAAAACTATATAGTGCTGAAATTATCAAAAATGTATACTATGCCAGATTTAATAGACATCTATGGTTCATGAGTGACGTGTGATTGATGTATTTTAATAATATTAACTCATTAAACTAAATTAATATTAGTTGATTATCTTACACATTGTTATTTCTAATAAATGCATAAATTACGATTTACCAGTACACGGTTGTACTATCTCGATGCATTTGTCTAAACGGTTCTATTATTGAACATGGATAACGGCTCAGATAGCTTTGACAGACCAACAGACTAACGGATTTCTGGACGTCTAACCTAACCTGACTGATTGCGAGTAATATTATTTCGATCGACATTTTTAGTGCGGTACCGTTGGACGCGAAGTACGAGACGATTTTGGCCGGTTTACACGAGGCTATCGAGGACGGCAGGGCGGTCGGCGGAGACTGTCGGTCCAAATACAAATGTTTCGGATCGCATACGAGCGATGACGCCGATCGTTTTAATCTCACTTGAAAATAGCGTGATACCTAACCGATAGTGTTATGTTTTTATTGTACTTTGTTTCGTTCTCTGTGAAATAGTACAAAATATAATCTAACATCCTGATAAAACAATAATATGTAATGTACCTATTGTATGTTAACGTGGGACAGTTGGAATAACTATTTCGTAGCAATAATATATGTATAGGCACTAGAATATATTACGTTCGGAGTGAAAGTTATCGTTATTTTATTTATTGTTCACCTATTTTGTATTCACGAAAATAAAAAATTATTTTATTATATCTCCGTGTGTAATCATTGCCAAACGACCAAACCGTTGAACTCGCGTGTCTACAGTTCACGTTCGATCGCCACCATGTTATTCAATGTCGTTTCCCGATTTTTATAAAAAGCGCTTGGAAAACCAAAAACTCACCCGAGTACCGACTTGATAAAGTTTCCTTTCAGAAAAGATGCTACACTCGGATACATCGGATTAAGATTTCTGGTAGAAAAGTTGTTCGCAGATAAAAAAAATAAATATCTTTGTAAAACCAATACAAAAATCATGCATATCTGCAGCGGTTCCCATTCTGGGGTACGTGAGACGATTTATGATTTTAAGGGGTACGCGAAAAGAAATTAGATAAAGCTGTTGATAAATTTGCACATTTAAAACAACACCGTTGTCTTTTAATAGCTTAATCAAATGATAATTAAAAATGTCAGTTATCTATTCATAACAATCAAAATACAATTTTTTTATTTTTGTTATTGAAAAATAAATAATTTATCAATAATTAAGTGTATTATAATTTATATTGTTAATTTTTTTTATCGTACTTGTTAAAAAAGTATATTATTGTAATATAATTAAGGTGTGACTAAATCGTTTATATTTAACACGTTGAATTTCTGTGCGTGAAATTCAAGTACCTGAATATTTAACCCTACCCCTCCCCCATCACCTACTATGGCATTAAACCGAAAAAAAATTGTTGAGTCGGAAAATCAGTGAGCGGTTGCCCTAGTCTAACAAAAGCTGAAACGACGCCACCGCTATATCTTAATTTCCCCTGTATTCAGCATTAATGCAGAACACAGATAGCGAATAATATTCAATGGCGAACATTACTTCTGTACTTTTGAACGTACACACACACACACACACACGCGCGCGCGCGCGATATGATTATACGGTGGTGTAGTAATGTTATGAGTTATAATATTTCACCCATCATTTTACGGGCGTTACACGTGGAATTTCAGTCACCGCGCACAATGAGCGATTGTACGTATGTAGGATTCAAAACGGAAATATACAAACTATTAAAAAATATACGCCAGGTGTATGACGGTTAAATGGGGCCCGGGACCGGAGCCGTGGAGCCCTGTGCAAAACTGATGTCTAGACATTTTTACCTGTTCCCGTATCGACCGTATCTCAACTAACTTACTAACTTCTCCCGTATCCTTATTCTCCTCTCAGTGTCCTAAATGCATTTTCCCTTCTCGGCTTCTCCTGTATCTTACCCAACTCCCGCATCCTACCCAGTGGCGGTGCTATGGTTCGTGTTATGGTGCACAGGAGCAGCGCGCCACCTACAATTTCGAAAACTACCGATACATTGCTGTTTTACAACAATAAAAAAAAATATATTATTAATTAACAGAATGTATGTGTATAGAAATGCATTCGGGATTTATTTTAGTGACACGAATACAAATACATTCATATTTCAAATAAAATATTTTGTTTTAGTTCCAGTGTACTGAATTTACTGTGCTTGTTGTGTACAATTTTTTTTTTTAAATTTTACCAATTTTACCCACGAGCCGCCACTGATCCTACCCGACGAACTTTGACCAGCAGCTCGTAATCATATAGATGAAAAATGTTCTGGTGTAATGCAAATCAAAATGTTCAATAATGTTCGAAAATGCGTTTATGTAAATAAAAATGACGGCAAAAATGAAAAAAAAGTATAGTATTTTGAAAAATGTCCATGTCAAAATCGATTTTTATTATTTGAAGTGTTATTTTGTGTGAAAAACAAGACTAAAAAAGTACAAAAATTCTGTGCCGTGACCAGGATTCGAACCTGGGTTATTGCGGCCACAACGCAAGGTCCTAACCACTAGACGATCACGGCCTCGTGTTGAGATCGTAGAAATAAGAGATTTATTGGTTGATTACATTATGACAACGTACTAATAAAATCAATATTTCATATTTATGATGTTGTTTAGCAATAAAAATCGTCAAAACGAACTGTTTATAGTATCAATACATTTTGCGGCAATAACGTTGCAAAAAAAAAAAAGGGTTAATAATGGGGACGGGTGTGCCACTGTTGTAGATGAGAAGTTGGAAATGTAGAATACAGAAAGTCAATGATCTGTAAGCAACGATAAATCATTGCTAACGAAAAACGATTCTGAGCGAAGTTCGATTATACATGTTTCGAATTAATTGCTGTTTTAGAATATTTGATTGTACCTATTTATTATTTCGAATTTGAAAGTAGATTTTCAACAGAAATTTAAAAAATTTAAATTGCTATTATCTAATTTATTAAATTCTACCAATAATATACCTACTTAATGAGAGTTCGAAATTTATTGAACAATATAAGGTAAGATACTAAGACTATAGGTGCGACTAGACCGCCAACTTTAGGATTACTTTTATGAATGTATTAAAAACCCTTGAGGGCTATGTTCCCACAAAACACCTTATAACACGACTCTTACATTAAACAACTATACTTTACTTTTACAATTTTGTATATCGTCGCAAAAAGTGATGAAGTGAAATATTATCATTGTCGGTAAACTACAATTGAATATTCAAAATGGTCTGAAAATTCACACACTTATTCGATTTTAACAATTTTTGTCTTGAAAAATCCGTAAAAAAGTAAAGAATTTTAACCTTGAATTATTCAATTTTACGTTTAATGAAAACTTGGGAATAGTTTAAAAAGGTAAAAAAACCGACCAACTGGCTTCTTAACCACATGAAAAACTGACCAGCCGACTTAATCGAATCACGTAGTCAAGAAAAATAATGTATAAAATAGTATTATCGTTATGTATTCAATGTATTCGTCGATATTACCCGGATAATAAAAAAATATTCCGTGTTGTACACACCTCCCCCGCCCCCTTTCCAGTAAATACGTCGCTGTCGTATTGTCATATTTCCGGTAAACTTACGCTAAAACGTTTTATCTGTACGGCAGCCACGGTCTAAATAATTGTATACGGAAATCGGACAAGGCCCGACGAGCAAGTATTTAAAACCAAAACGTTACTCGGGTTCAAAATAAAAATCTCCAAATACTAATGAAAATTGCACACGATAGAACGTAGAATGTTATGTCCGATTATTTGTTTTGTAAAGATTAACGACCAGGAAATAGTGTACACGTTTAATATAACGAAAAAAAAAAATAATAATAATTTTAATCAGAACAATTAATATCATATGCATTGTTAAATCAATGCATTTGTACGATATAGACAGTGAATATATTATAATGCGGTACGCCGAAAAAAAAAAAAAACAGTTATTACTAATTAATATAATTTTGATTCGGTTGTCACGGGCGATCCACGTAGAAACTCTGTTTGTACCGATTTATTTGACGCGATTTGAACATAAGCTTTGCTATTCAACTTTTCGACCGCACATTTCGCAGAGTTTTCTGAATAATAATTATTTATAGTATTCCGTTTAGCGGACTAATACATTCGGGTAGTTGTTGTTACAATTGCCGTCGAGAGAAATGAATTCCGCGGCGCAACTTCAATCGAACAGCGGTCATTCTACTCAGAGTCCGTGTGTAAACGATGAAAACGGTCGGCGTTTAGAAAAATCTGTACCGGGAGTACGTACAAAAGAAAACACCGATCAAGTTTCAAACGCGAAATCGTTTTACGCATCGCATGAACTTATTATTAAGATGGTGACGCTGACAAATCATATTCATACAATTTTAGAATCTGATGATGTGACTTATGATGAACAATCTATAGACGAATTGGCTTCACTGTTTTCTCGAAAAGATTTTCAATCTTATTCAGAACTAACATTGAAATGTACTCTGTGGCGGCAGATTGGTGATCGAATCATGATGTTTATTAAGGAGTTCGATAGCATCAAACGTAATATGGCACATTTGTCTAGTTGTTTTATTTTCGTATTCTACAGGATGACAGAACTCTGTTGCACCCCGGTTAATGAACTCAAGATCGAATTAGACACGTTCATTGACAATATTCGAGAACATGTAAAATATCTCGACGGCGCATTGTGGAAAGAATGGTTCTCATGCGATAACAAGTTTAAAGACTGGATGTTTTTTATAGCTAATGTTTTCATATCAAACGAAAATTTTGTAAATGAGGACGAAGAAGTTCGTATTAAAAATGCAGTAAAGTATTTCAAAAAGGTAAGATACAGTCATTACGACGTATCTACAAAAAAACCCGTACCAGAAACACATGACGACGAAATATTTACTAGTGGTGGCAAGACAAACAAACGGAAATACGAGGAAAACCATCGCGTTAACGATGAAAATATTAAACGTATCCGAGTAACGGGTAGCAAAGCCGGTGTTTTTATTAAAAACTCACGAAAAAGATTAAGAAAACTGTTAAGGTAAAATATGAAAAAAAATTCAAAACAAAAGGTTTAAAAAAAAAAAAAAAAACGAGACAGTTGTGTCGTGTGTCATTGTTCGCAAATATCAAGTGACAAACATCACTAGTATATTTATTCGTATATTCACTCCGAAACCGATCCGTTGATTTGGTCAGCAGTTATCGTATTTTAGATAAACTAAAAATCGCATGAAAATTCATAGCGTCACATTAATGTACATTGTTATTGTCGTGTTTATAATATTATTGAAAATCCAAGAGAACTCTGCGATACTTTTAAAGCACAAGTACTATTGTGCACTTAAAATAATTTTTTTTTTTTTCTTGATGTCAATAACTGTTAACTTCTATACAGCTGTATATTTCTTTCCCAAATGTAAATTTATAACTTTTGTTACCATTTGAAAATAGTTACCTATAATACTTGTTATGTTTGTTATTAAATAATTATTATTATTTGAAAATTGCCATTGCGTATATTTGTTTGTTTTCGTTTTTAAGAACAATAAAACAAATCAATAATATTACAATAATTTGAATTTTAAAAATGAACCGATAAAAACACATTGCTGTAAAAACACATCGTTTCGATAATAATGGTTTGCCGTTGATTACAGGTATAAAATAACTATTTAAGTATCTATGTATCTTATCTTCCCAAATTTTCACCTACAACAGTGGCACGCCCGTTAGCAGTATCAGCTCTTTTTAATGAAAATTTTTAACAATAATTATTAATTTTTTTTTTTTTTTCAATTAAATTACACCGCGTTTCTCGCTTGTATAATATATTAAGTACGTTGGTGGGTACATGATTAAAAATTATAATTTTTTTTGTTAATTATTACAATAATAACAGTCTGAGTTAAACAATTATAATTATTACTCGTCAATATTAAACAGTTAAAGTAATACTGGCGCAATCGTGAATACGAAGGTACCTGTATAATTACGCGTTTATTAATGTGTGATGCGGTGAACGATTTTCCAACTCGGCAATTCGCGGCTGGAGTATAGGTAACCCAACTTACCAACATGTGAAAATAGTTCACAGCTAAACGTAACGGTTCGTGTTTTAAAAGGCCAATTGACTTGTTTGTACACAGTGCTGTCCGTGTATAAGTAGCAAAATAATTTTAAAAAGGACGTCAAGACAAAATTATTGGAAGAAAAGGTAGCGCACAGATGAAAAAAAAAAAAAAAGATTTTACAAAGATGTTTAATTTTATCTTTGTAAAAAACCATAAACTTCTTCTTCTAAAATTTAAAATGGCATCAAATCCAAGCGTCTTTCTTTTAGATATAAATGTATTATAACTTTTTTAAATTAAATTTTTTATACTCACGTACATTACTTTGTAGGTAATCTGTATTGTATTCCGCTTGTAAACTATGAAACGCCGGGATAGAATATTTAGTCTATGCTAGTAAATGTCAATAGAAAAAAATATATACATGACGGGGGCGCGTCATTACCTAGCTCTAAGCACGTGTCTACTTTTTCGAGAACCGCGGTAGGATAACGGTGGGCATTGAAGAAAAAAAAAAACACCGAAAATGGAAAAAATAAGAAAATCAGTCATTTTTTTTTTATTCATTGGTACACAAATCATATATATAAAACTATACGAGTACTTACAAAACTATATGGCACAAACATTATGTACATTCGCGGAACGCGTCTCGTTTCAATGCGTTCGCGACTATAAAATATTCATTTTTTTTTTAAAAAAAATATATACACATATGTATATGCCTATTTATGTATAATAACATATTGTACAAATTATTTTCATTTTTTCCTACAAAACGCGACCGTAATACAGGCGTGTTTGGGCGGTCGACCCGGTCACGACGGGTGGCTGGTAAGTATTCGCATTTATCGGACGTATTTTTTTAATTTTTTTTTTTTTTTTTACTCGCGATTTAATCCCGCGAACAGAGGCGCGCAGCCAAGATTGTTGTTGTTGTTGTTTTTATTTTTTTTTCTGCGAGGGAGCTGGTCCGAACAGAAAGTTTATCACCGACTGTCTATCCGAGGGGAGGGGAGACTTTAAAACGTGACGGGTATAGGAAACTATATAGAAGTGCCGTCTGATTTTTCGGCGAGAAGCTTAAATTCCGCGGGAAAGGAGGGGAGGGGGGGAGGAGGGGGACGAACAATCGCGTTTCTCGATTTCGTTTTCTCGAGAATCGTATTCAAAGGGACGGCTCAACGTGAACATAACTGATTAGGTAAAACGTCCTCGTAACGGAATCGCTCGGTACCGACTGACTCGTCCGTTATGACGGGGGACACTGAAATATACGGGATGCGGGTTAATACGTTGAACTGTTGTCGTTTTCCGTTGAAAAAACGAGTTTTCCGCCTTGTGTACAGAGGTCCGTTACGAGGTGGGCGAATCGCCATCACGGGCGTACAGCCCCGTTCGCTGCACGCACCGACCCGGTGAAAATATCGCGACAGTTCGCGTCCGGGCAGGCACGTGGCCGGAAATCTAAGCTCCTCTCCGAAAAATCGGATTTTCGGTACAAACAGCCATTGGTGGACGGTGATGAACTTTGTGTTCGGACCCAACCTAACCGAATGACCGGGTGCAAAACGCGCCGAAACACGACCGACACGCCGGATAATAAATTGTCGTTGTCGCTTGCAGTGTATCGGTTTACGCGCTCGAATAAAACAACAGAATAGCGATTCGAAAGAGAGTAAATAATATTAACCGTACATGGAAGAAAAACAAAAAAAAAAAAGGTAAAAGTAAATAATACGAAATAATGATTAAAAATCTAAAATTAATAACGACGATGACGTCGCGGAGGAGTGGGGGTGAGGGGGAATTGGACTAGCACCGTTTGCGGTCGTACCGTCGCCGCCGTCGTCACACGTATTCTTCCGGGAATTTCGGCGACTGTCGCGACGACGACCCGTCGCCCGTTCTCGTCGCCTGCGCCGCGACAGAGTCCGGGACCGATTGGCCGCCGCCGCCGCCGCCGCCGCCGTGGTGATGGTGCAGGACGTGCCGGCGGTCGTGGTCGTGGTCGTACGGCGACGTCGACGGCGGCTGCATGATCGGCCGCATGCCGTTGTTGGACGGCGGCGCCCAGTTGAGCAGATAGTCCCAACCCAGGCCCACCGGTATGCTCGACGACTCGGACGCCGCGTTGGGCGTCCGCACGTTCCGGTACATGGGCCCGTCGTCGTCGGACGCCACCAACGTGCTCAGCGAACCCCGGAACGACGAGTCGAACGTGTCGTAACCCGCGGCCACCTGTTGGTCCTGGTCCTGCAGCTGCTGTTGTTGCTGTTGCTGTTGCTGCTGCTGCTGCTGTTGCTGCTGCTGCTGCTGCTGCTGCTGCTGCTGCTGCTGCTGCTGTTGCTGGAGCTGCTGTTGCTGGAGCTGGAGCTGGTGCTGTTGCTGCTGCTGCTGCTGCTGTTGCGCCGACAAGACGACGTCGGACGACGGCGGCGGGAGCGGCGACGGTAGCGGCAACCGCCGCCGCCGCTGCGAGTCCCTGTTAGACGATCTGGACGCGCTCTTGCCGCCGCTGCTCCCGATCTTGTTGAATATCACGTCGCTGAGCTTTTCGCCGGACACGCTGTTGTTGTCGTACTCTATCTCCGAGCACGTGAACGAATCGTTTCCGCTCTCGTCCGACGACGTCGTGGTACCCGTGTCGTCGTCGTCGTCGTCCTGCCGGTGGTGCTGCTGCTGCTGGTGGTGCCTGCGGTGGTGCCCGTGGTCGTCGACCATGTTGGCGGACCGTCCGCCGCCGCCGCTAACGCCGGACACGGCGTCCACCGTGCTGACCAGACTAGGCGGCCGGCCGTGCTGCTGCTGCTGCTGTTGCAACTGCGTCCGGCCGCCGCTGCCCACGCCGCTACCACCGCCGCCGCTGCTACCAACTCCGCCGCCGCCGCTGCCGCCGCCGTCTCCGCCGGACAGGCCGCTGCCCGACAGACTGTGACCGCTCATCACCGGGCTGTTCAGACTCCTCTCGCTGTTGCTGTGCATCGGGCAGTCTTTGCTCACCACGCCCGACGACGAGGTAGCCAACAAGGCCGTCTGGAGCGGTTTACCGCTAATGTCCTAAACACACACACACGCAAAACAAATTCGTATTATTAGAAGCACGAGCAACAGTGTTTGTACAGAGTCAAAAGGATTACGGTCGGTATAAAATCGTCGGCTGCGAGTATAAAGAACTCAAACGTACATAGAAAATATATGACCGCCTCTCTTCCACCCCACCCGTAAGAAGGACCTGGTGCGCCACTGGTCGAGACGACTGTAGCACGCGCGTACTGTGACCGCCGCATTCCGCACTGCGGACGTGTGCACATTGTTATACCGTCAAGGACGGCTCTGTAGATTTGTTTGGGGGTTAGAGAGGCGGGGGGGGACACCGAGTCATATTTTTCAGAAAACCGTATGATAAAAAGCATAGTTTATATTTGTTCAGTGTATTTATACTTTACGCACAGTACAGACACCTCCAACTACACACCCGCTTGTGCGTGCCCGTAATAAAAATGCGGGGGGGGGGGTGCGGTCCCCAGGACCCCTTCTCCTGCATCCACGCCCTTGATTATCGTTTCGTGTTTCTGTAAATTTTTTTTTTTTTTTGTTTAACGTCCGTCAGTATATTATACTCGCACAGCATAACAACGGCCAGAACACATTTGCCGCGACGTACGATACCACGCGAGCGGTCGCTCGAAACCGCCCGTATTTTATGCGTGATAGTAAATCGACCGTGCACGCGGATCGGTAGAATTCAAAACGGCCGTTGCTTAGGAACGATTCGTCGGATATAAATGTGCGCGCCGCGTATGTATTATTTGTTGGATACGACAGGAAGAAAACCAGTGCAGGGAGGTACGTTAGGGAGGTCACTCCAATCGCTATCGATCGTACCGTACCGCGAAACGAAAACTGCGATATTCTTTAAGTACTGTAACCTAACCAAACCTTACGAAACCGAAAGAAGTATTATTAGCGATAACGTTGAAAACGTCGTCGTACGCTATCGATTTTCGTACACTATCAACTGTCAAGCGACCTATAATTGTCCACTGTATCTACTGTCGCCCTATCAATTCGCCGCTATCTATTGGCACGTTATTCACGCTATCTATTGCCGAATACGCGTTATTCGTATAAAATTGAAAAATAAAAAAAAATAAAAAAACACGTCGGCCCCGGGATCCCGATGGGAAATTGCCGTTTGCGTTTTATCAACGGCGGCGCAATTAGCAAAATATCTCGCCAAAAACAAAAACAAGGCCGCCAATGCGTGGTCTGAATCCCTCGAATCCCTGTCGCACCCCGGGGTAAAACGCGCCGAAACGTGTCGGCGTTCGCACGCCCGCGGTACGTGTACGGGTGAAACCGACGGAGAGTAGGGGGCGAAAAGGGGAGGATTTTTCGAAATACCTCCAGTTGACAGAAAAAAAATAAGAAAAAAAAATGTTAATCTTTTCACACGCCATTCCACAATGCAGTTGTATGATTCCAACTGACGGGCGTTATTATGCAATCGCAATTGACTTTGCGTCGGACTCTCGGGATTTTCGAAAAACGCGTTCGTCTCGATCGAGACTTCCGATCGCGCGGGCATTCGATTGATTTATTATTATTATTATTTTTTTATCGTTTCCGTTCTTTCGACAACGGGCCTTATCCCGGCCAAACCGCGGATGTTTCGACCCGTCGAATTCCACGCGGGTTCGCTCGCCATTGGCGTTCCGCTGCACAGCGACTAATAATATTGCACAAAAAACGTCCGGCCGGACGTTACAACAACACTGTCGGTTACAATGCACAGGCGCCGGGCACGCGGAGAATCGCCAGAATCGCGGAAGTTTCGAGAATCGGCGCACCTAATGCGCGGCCGTTATTGAAACTTTAACGTACGGTCGCGATCGTTGTACGCGTATCACGACGGTCGGATGTGCGTAACAATGGGGCGTTTGAACGCACGCATAGGCAACCTAACCGGTTTCCGCGGATACGAATCGATACAATCATAATAATATTACGCACGGTGGGACGTATACATTTTTTTTTTTTTTCTAATCCGAACATTAATCATCGGGAAATATTTAAGTAGCCGCGTGCGTTATATTTATCGGTATGATTTCTGTCCGGAATGATGCAAATCGAATAAAGAATATTTACGCCGAGACGATAATAATCGAAAAAAGAGAGCGAGCGAAAAAAACAAAAAAAAAAAACACTACCTACCCACAGTATATTATGTTACCGTTGAAAAAACGAGCGTATTGTAAATACGTGACGCCGTTGTATTACGCACGACCAATACGAACGCGCCGATTCGAAATAATATAACGCAACCGTACATTATTATTATTATTGTGAATTATTTTGAGAATATTATTGGTTCATTATAGTTAAATTGTTATTGAAACTTTTGCGTTTTTAGAAATTTTAAAAGCGCATTTTTCTTTTAAGGTTTTTTTTTTTCGCAGAGTTATCGGAGAATTCGATAACATTTATTTCGATTTCCCCCTAAAAGAACATAAAATTCATATTTCATATTTTTAAAACGTACCGATTTTAACGATTGTACCGGATAAAAAACATACGCGATGCCGGCCGCGATAAATAAAACGATAAGCTATTTATCGACAGTTGTAATGCAGCCGTATTGTACTAATCGCACAGTTGCGTTTAGTGAATTTATAAACCTAATAGGAAAAAAGAAAGTTTTTCGTTCGGCGCTTTCAAAACTAATTTTCATGTTTATTTTATTCGTTTTAACATTTTTTTATACATACATAGCGCATTGAATTGTATTATTTTTTTTTTAATCCGCGTCTTAATTACTACGCGACGGCGGCGAGCCGAACCTGTCGCGACGTAGTCCGGCGGCAATTTCGCCGAAAGGAAATCTGACCGGGGCGATACCATTAAACGGGTCGTTTTTTTTTTTTTTATTTTTTTTGATTTTCCCAACTGTTTTCCCAATAAACGGGAACGAAAAACGCGAGAAAACCCGGGAAAATCCGCGATACGTATCGTATATCGTCGGCGAACATTAATCACCGCGCACAGCCGATACGCACATTAAATTCCCCTCTGTATCCTACATAATAGGCATGCCTTGCCGACTTCTCGTCCGCAACAGCGGCCCCCCGCCCATCGTTACGGAGTATATGCCCGTGTCCTTATAGTTATTGTTATTGTTATTATTATTATTATTATTTTATTTATTTATTTTTTTTTTTTTTTTTTTTATGCATACACCATACGTTTCCCGGTGAAAACCGAACGGAAAAACATTTCGTAAAAATAAATCTCGCGAATGGTTACGGCTATATTATAACGTATTATACGCACTATACGCTCCTCGCGGATAGGTATATCGTAAGAAAAAAAAAAAAAAACCACTTAACTTGTAGTGCGATCTATAACGATTGGGCCCCGCGAGCACCCGGTATATTATGGGTATATTATATGGGAATACATATATTATCATAATATCCTGAACAAACTGCAGTTTATACGGACCGCGGCGCGCGCAATCTAACGAGGCCGTCGCGTCGTTTTATGCGCGCAGAAGAAACCCCGTACACGCCGAGTAGGCGTACGCGCGCGGTCGACGACGTTTTGTTTTAAACGGTTTTTTTTTTTTTTTTTTTTTTTTTTTTTTTATAGCGTATGGCCGGTCGTAAATTTCGTCCGGAGATCTCGCGCCGATCCCGCCGGCCGGCAGGCCCCGTCCGTTCGTGCGCGAGGTATAACGAAATCGTCGTCCGTCCGCCGTAGAAAAAAAAAAAAAAAAATATCCGTGCGGACCGACTAATAATAATTATTGTTCCGAGTTGTTGACGCCTACAAATGCGTATGATACGCGCACGTAGGTATACACGGGATTTTAATAAATTCGAGATTCCGGAATAAACGAGACGAGATAATTCAACCGGACGGTTCAAAACTCCGGAAGTCCGGACCGTATAATTACCGTGACTTTTTTTCTTTAAGAAGACGTCATACCCGCATCTACTGTCTCGTCCGACTATCCGGGGGGTAACATGCAAAAACAATGCTTACGCAGAAGTAACAAAACCAGCGTACGTTTTGATTTTAGAGTAAAAATACCTATTATGAAATTTATGGAGAACAATATTTCGGAGGGAATGTCATGGGTGTTTTTTTTTTTTTTAATTATGAACTATAAAAAAAAAAATAAAAAAAAAAAAAAATCCAAAAACGATTTTTGTATCCATTATACCGAGCTGTATATTCTGAATACTACAAAAACCCCATGCGAAATCCCCGCCGAAATTATGTTCGTTATAATTTTCATAACATGTACTTTTACCTCTAAAATCAAAACTAATTTAGTTTCACTTGTTCTGCGCAACCCTATGCACGTTACCCGGCAGTCGGACCGACACTGCACAGAGACGGGCGTGTAACGTCCTCTATAATTCTATCACGCGTTTGCCGAATCGCGATTCGCGCATCGTAATGCCATTCGTTCTCGATCGCGCGGTTTACATCGAACGGGATTGCCGCCGGACCAATATTATTATTATTGTCGCACGTAAAATCACCAATAATAATAATAATAATAAAAAAAATAAATAAAAAATTGACCGATCGATTACGGATACGAATCGCGGGGGGAGAGGGAGGGGGGCGCCGGCGCACGCTCCGTCCCTCCGCCTCTAAAACGCCGTCCCCGAACGATACTGAACCGATATTTATTATTGCAGGGCGGTTAATGTCTACGCCCCCGACCCGCGAGTGTCAACGTTGTTTCCCGCTGCCGACCTTTGGCGCGTTTTAGTGGGTTTTCACGGCGGGTTTTCCGGGCGCCGACCCGTGTTTGCAGTCGGACACCCCTAATCGGTCCGTTACTGCTGCCCGGCAACACAAACGGACCGGGCCCGTTGAACATTCTGGTTTCGCCCGGTTTTCGCGTTCCGTTGCGACATTATATTGTAACGTGCAATCCGCCCGTGCAAGGCATCGGGATGGAATTTAATATTGTAATATTATTGTAGGTATTATTTATTGACGGTATCGTCGACGAAACACATTATACACGTTGAATATCGTCGAATAAATTTGCGGTTCGTTAAACGACAGAAAATAACAATAAAAAAATTACCGCGAACGCGAAAAAAAAAAAAAACAACCGTATATACGTTTATTCGTATTATTTATAGTGCAATAGGTATGTTATAATATTACAGGTAAGTAGGCAGGTATTTTAAACGTCCCGGTAATAAAACCGATTAAACTCAAATCGGAATTGAGTATGGGTACATTAACGCGCGTGCGGCAATCGTCGAAACAAATCTGTACAGTACGCTGTTATTTATTTTCATCGTTTTTTTTTTTTTTTTTTATCCGTAAGATTTCAGAATTAAACGATTCTTCGAACAACGTTAAAATACGACTGTGATTCGTTGTCGAGGTATATACTTCGCGTTACGGGAAATCGCAATATCTATATACATATACACACGCGCGCGCGCGAATCATTGCTGTAGTCGGCTATGCGATATTTGACGAGAATGTATTAAAATGTAATTGTAACCGGTGGCGTGAATGTGGGCGGGAGCGCAATGGGAGGAAAGGCCTACTTCATTTTGTATCATTTGTGCCCCCCTTCCCTCCCAGAAAATCTAAAAATACGAATCTGTGAATCTTCTCCAAAGTCAAAGGAAAAATGCAATTTATTCAACAAATATAAAATATTTAAACGTTTTTTGGACTACTTAAAGCTCCTAAACTCGGCACGTAATATTATTTAACAAGATGAGTACGTACGTATAACTATAGTACCCGCCGCCTACAGTTTGTTTCTAAATCATAAAACGGTTTTAAGACCCGTGTAAAAACGAACAATAAAAATATATTTGAACCGGGTGTGGGGGGGGGTCAGAGTTTTAATTACAGCGGACACGGTTTTTCGCTCCCCCCTCCTAGATTTTTATTCGATTACGCCGCCGATTATGACCGACGCGATCACTCGAATTCACCGAATTCACCCGTTTAAATACGACGTATTAGATAAGTCCATAAGACGATATATTATCTGGTCAACCTAACCTTATCAAGTACCATTGGATCTGAGCAAATAAAAATGCACCTGAAAATGCGATGCAAAGTAACTTGAAAACTGTTATATTTCCACTTATTTCGTTGTGAAAAATCTCATTTGAGTATCAGTTGTTTAAAATAATGGTCAAATCTCAGCACGTAAACGCTCATGTTTCAATGCGCCGCGCTCGTCGATCAGCCGTTTATTATTTCGTTTATGCGCCGACGTCGGGACACGGCGGAAAGTACGGCGGGTATCGGGTACACCCATAGCGCATTGCACCGTACGAATCTAATTAAAACGCGCGCGGCGTACTTACTCTTAACGTGAGTATTCTGGGCAACTGTTGACTGAGTTCGCTGCTGGGACTGAGCCGCGCGAGCGGCGTGCTTTGGTGTTGCATGTGATTGGCAGATTCCAAAGGTGGCGGGGGTGGCGGTGCCGCTGACCGGCTATCTCTGGAATGTGGAGATTGAAAACCAGTCGCGTGTCGCATTTGTTTGTGATACATGTTGGACGGCAACCCGGGACTGAGATGGGATTTCATCTTCCGCAGATTATTTCCATCCCGGTAACCTGAACAATACACATTTTTATTTTTATTTTTTTCTGGTGTCAAATCATTATTTATTTTTTACACGGCGATAAATAACCCTGTAAATTATTATGACGACAAAATATTGAAACGAAATATTTACGAAGTATTAACGACCACCTTCGCGCATTAAAAACCGTACGGATCATTATGGAATAAATAAATTACAATTTCCAGATTAAAAAATAAAAATAAAATATAAAACGAATTGCATTAATAAAATAATAAATAATGCATTCAAACAGCACAACCCGCGGTTAATGCAAAACACTTAACGAGCGCGAGCACATGGGCAATGAAACGCTACTCGAAAAGCATATTAACTAGGCAATATATTTAAATCGATTATTGAATTACATTAGCATAGATAAAACGCGCGGTTTACGTAATACACGTACGGGACGAACATTAATAATAATGAAACATTTCCAACTATCGCGGAGTTTTAATAACGAATTATCATTTCTTAAAGTTCGCACAGGGTTTGGGTTAAAACACAATAATTCAGTGTGACCCGCTTTCAAACGCTTACTTTTATAGTGATAGACGATGTCTATGTCCGACGGGGCTATGGAGCTGGCGTTTTCTAGGTCATAGTGTTCGGGCATATCGTGATCTCCTGTCACACTGTCGTGCTGATGCATATTTTTCATGTGCGGATTGAGCTCGTCTCTTTGCGGGGGCGGAGATTTTCCCACGACCTCCCTTTCGATTATGTCCGGCCTGTGCGGCCGGTGCGTTTCGCTCATGCCCATTTCTTGGTCTTTGTAACGCTTCGACAGTAATTCCGGCGGAACCATATGATGTCTGATAACGTCTCCGGTTTCGGACATGAACGACGACACCGGTATCGTATTTAAAGCCGGCGATTCCGAGTGGAGACCGCTCTGGAAATGGTCTTTACCGCTATCCGAATCTTTATCGCTTTTAAATTGTTTTCGTAATTTGAACACGAAAAAACTAACTGTTATCGCCATCAACAGTAAAATGAAAAATCCGATAACCAATGTGATTCCGAAGCTAAGCGGATCGGGACCGGCCACTCCAATGGCGGATAGCCCGGACAGATCGCAGTCGAACGATACGTGTCCGGAATGGAAAACTTCTGGAAATATACTCCCAGTGCCGTTAAACGGTTGTAGTTCTTTATTAATTGTTAAGTTGGCTAGGCATCCTGAAAAACCTGCAACAAAAATCAATAAGTTTTATTAAATATACATTTTACTTGTAAAACGTATCTACACAGGAAATCAAAACAAAAATAAACTCACTCAGAGTATCGATTTTTCCAGAAAAATATTCACGATCGACACCGCCTAGGTACATTTTAGTTAGATATGGATCCAGAAAATCGTGCACACTAGCCGAATCCAGTTCTTCGCCGACTTTTTGTCTATCCAAAAATAATTTCAAACTTTTCGTGCCGATTACCATAGTTAAATTATGCCAGTTTCCGTCGTCTACATTTTTATCAATCGACATGTTTACAGTGGATGTCGAAGAACTTAAAAACGACGAATAGAGTAGTTTACCATTTATAAGCTGAAATGAAAAAGATAATATTGCATAATAATATTAATACTAGGACTAGTATAATGGTTTTTAAAAACAAAACCAATAGTATATTGTAGAGTACTTGAGTACATATTATACAATTATACACAAAATGTAAGCTGTATTTACAATTTTTTAATTTTATAGTATATCTGTTTTGAGTTGTAAGTATTGTTTTTTTTTTTAAAGAAAAAAAATACAATCATTTTCTTAACTAATATTTTTTATTATATTTAATTATATAAGAAAATTGAATTCCATTAATTATAATTGTTTTAAAGAAATAAATTTTGATGCCCGTTCATTAAAAATTATTTATGATTTAAAACAATAAATATGAGTATAACCTTTGTCAAAAATAACAATCGTATTTGATAAATAAATTAAAAACCTATACCTAATTAACAAATAGTTCATAATTTCCTATTATTATTCGCTAATTTTATAGACCAAATAAACTACTAAATTAAATACATACTTTTACTAGTGTAAAATCAGAATTCGATGCTGTCAGAAGTATTGTAGCGTTTGATTTCATTGTTCTAAACATTAGACTTAGTTCTTTTGCAGGAGTTATAATAAGTGAACTTCTTTTAATTCTAGACTGTTGTCGCCAAATTGTTGTTCCATTATAAATAGATTCCAATAAATGCATTCGTCTATGCTTCTCTGTGATTTTGTATTCGAGAAATGCACCTTCGGTCAATGAGACTGGTTTAAATGCTTGGAAACAATTTGGTGATATTACATCGTTTTCTTCACATTTACACATTACACCAGTCCACCGTTCCAAACAGGTAGATCTTTCGCCACATAGTGTTGATGACTGAGTACACTGACCTTGACGATTGCAAAACGGGTCCACGGCTTTGGATGATATTGGACTACTGAGGTTTAAACCATACCCATTGATAGTGATACTATGAACGCAACCAACAAAATCATCCGTATGTAATTGACCAGTTCTGTCTAGAAGAGGGTCTGCAGAAGTCACTCCACCAATTAACAAATTATTTCCATTGAAATTCAACGTTCTGCAACAATAATATATTGTTATTTACATTAATAATTATTACACACATATATATATATATATTTTTTAAAGAAGTTTTAAATTTAATTATAATCTATACATACCCAACAGTCCCAGTATTATCACTATAGCATGACTTGTCTGATGGTCTGCATTCTTGGCAATTGTCTCCATTATCAATGCAAGAAGCTACACTTAAGGATAGTACTTTACCATTCCTTACAGCAGTTATCTTATACCACTGACCATCGGCTAATGAAGATCCATCACTTTTACTGACACTGATTGAAGTTATTGGACTTCTGGCACCACCATAGGAAAAAACACATTTCCCTTCAATCAATTCAATCGCAATGAAATCGGATCTTCCTCCAACTTGGTTTCCATAATTGTACAATAGTAGAGAGTCCGGTTTAGATGTAGAAAAAACCAATGTAATATCATTAGTTATACTATCCAATGGAGGGAATGACATGAATGAATACTCGTTGAATCCAAATGATGATTTCTCACAATGCCTTCCGTGCAAACCATTAGGACAGTTACATTTATAACCAGGTTTTAGAGAAACACAAGAACCACCATTTAAGCATGGATTAGGTCTACACGAATCTGCTGATAATTCGCATACGTTTCCCCGGTATCCCGGTCGGCACAAACAGAAGTATCCAATATTGTCTTGAGTCTGTTTGCAACTACCCCCGTTCATACAAGGATTGTTGTTGCATTTATCGAAACGAGGTTTTTCACATTCTAAGCCTTCTCTATCTGAAGGGCAGAAGCATTGATAACTGATGCCTTGTCGTCTACAAGTACCTCCATACTGACAAGGATTTGGTGCACATGGATCTTGACGTTTATCGCATTTTTTGCCAGCATATCCTTCGGCACAAGTACAAACAAATTCTTGTAAAATAGTAGGAGAAGTAAAAATGAAATCTTCCGTATTTGTTACACGTGGTTCTTTCGCTATAGCTAGAGAAGTAGAACACTTTCCATCATTTTCACAAGTACTTCGTTGACAAGGGGAATAGTCAAAGTAGATCAGTAATCTAGTTGACTGTGCAATACTATTGGATTTACTTCTTAATGCATCCTTCACGTGTTCTTTAGTCAAACCTCTCACAGCTACTGCTACCTCAATACCACCATCAACTTCATTAATGCTGTATAGCAATGGATTATTTTCTTCAAATGTTGCGTTTAATATGTTTATAAATTTTGAATAATGGTATTCAATAAACTCTGATGAAGTGATATTTTCAATTCTCGTAAAAACAGTATTTTCTATAATATTATTGTCAATTGTTTGATATTCTATTTTTACAATATTGGTGACCGAATCATGTTTACCATCATTTCCTGATACACGAAGAGTAGTAATTGGTTTAGAAATACTATTGATATGTAAATCGCAGAATTCGGGAATTGCAAAATCGTTGTTCATATGTTCAAGATAACATTTGTAGTCTCCCGTTGTATCAGGGTCAATAGGTCTCACGTCTGCAATTTTCCCAACAGGATATTCATTTTTCAAAGAATAAACTAGAATGTTTACTGATCTTGGACTAGATGGACAGTCATTTTGATCTAAAATAACCACGTTTAATAGATTTTCAGTTGTAATTTGAGGAGAACCATTATCAGTAATTGAGATCTAAAAAACAAAACATTACAATTTATTATTATATAAATATAATACTTAAACAATTCCATATCATTTTTTAATTTGTAATTTAAAAATGTAAATATTATTATAATACATACAACGATACTGAGATTTGGTGTTTGTTCACGATCAATTGATCTAGCAGTTCTAAGAAGCCCACTTGATTCGTCCAATGTTACAAATTCTCTATGAGGTCCACCAACAATTTTGTACGTAAATGGCGCTCCATTTGGAGGTTGATCTGCATCGGTTGCTGTTAGTACCATGATGCTTGTATTGATTGGTTCATTTTCAGAGACGTACCCTACATTGTTGTCGCTGGCTAATACTGGCCCATTATCGTTTACGTCAGTAATTATAACTTTGACTGTTGCACTTCCCGTCTGAGGTGGCGATCCGGTATCTACGGCTCCCACTATGATTTCATAGTAATTAATAGTTTCCCTATCAAAATATCCAACAGTTTCAATAGTTCCATTTTGTGAATCAATTCGAAATAATTTTGTTAAATTATTTAATACAGAATAAGAAAATTGATTATTCTGTGGCCATGCGTCTTTGTCAACAGCGTGAACGGTCAATATTTTTGCTCCTGGTCTAGTACCTTCAGAAACCAAGCACTCGTAATACTCTTGATCAAACTCTGGAGGGTCATTGCCATCTTGAATTGATATTATTACTTGAGCTTCGTCTGTGTCATTTCCTCTAATACTACCAGCATTTTTCGCCAAAACAGTAAGTATAATTCGATTTTGAGTTTCTCTATCCAGATGCCTTGAAACACTTAATACTCCAGTATTATGGTCGATAACAAAACCTTTGTCGTTGCTGGATCCAACCAAAAAGTAGTAAACTTTACCATCATCTCCAGAATCTAAATCTGATGCTTTTACCGCACCAACATTAGAACCAATTTTAGCAGATTCTGGTACATCGTAGTAGAAAACTGACTGACTAAATGATGGATAATATTCATTTACTCCTTGAATATGTATTATAACTTTTGTAGACCCCGACAGTGTTGAATTCGGATTGATAGCCAAGATTTCTAGGCTGTGAGATTTTTCTTTTTCATAGTCAAATACTTGTTTTGAATAAATGGCCCCAGTTGTAGTATTACAATAAAATAAATTTTCTCCTGTACCATTAATGATGGAATAATTGATTATTGCATTTTTAGGAGAATCTAAATCCTTAGCTACTATCTGTGAAACAAAAGTGCCAGGTGGAGAGTTTTCAAGAATAAAAACATTAAATAAAGTTTGATTGAAGGTTGGTGGATTATCATTGATATCTGTAAGCATAATAGATAAAGTAGCTTTAGACTGTTTTGGCTCAAATCCTGTGTCCATTGCAATCATATTAAGTTTATATTCTTTAATACGTTCGAAGTCTAAAATTTGAGCTATAGTTATAGCACCAGTTTCCATATTTAATTTAAATTTATCAGATGCATTTTCAAATAAGTATCGAACCAAACCATTTGGCCCTTCATCTTGGTCCATAGCTTTAACTATTAATATTGTAGTTCCGATAGGTTCATTTTCAGGAACAAATACTTGGTAACTTAGAGATGAAAATTCTGGACTAAAATTGTTTTCACTAGTCATAGTAAAGGCCACATCACATGTGTCTTGTTTTGGAGGTACTCCATGATCTGTTGCTCTAATTACTAAATCATAATTTTTACCTAAATCTAAATCAGTCAATTTTTTCTTTAGAGATACTAAACCAGACAATTTATCGACTTGAACCAAGTCTGTAGAATTTCCTCCGTATATAAAATATTCAATTTCAGAATTGACACCTGAATCATGATCAGTAGCTACGACTGTAATTAAAGGTGACCATATTTTTAAATTTATCGGTATAGGTGAGAAATATTTCTTTTCTTGGAACTGCGGTGGGTTGTTATTTGAATCAATAACATTAATAATGATTAAGCATTCGGTTGACAATGGAGGTTTCCCATTATCAGTAGCTAAAACTGTAAAAGTATATTCGTTTTCTGGTGATGTATCTTTTGTTGAATGTTTATATTTTAATGCACGTTTAGTAAATATATCTCCATATATTGGATCTATAAAAAATACATCGGAAGGTTGTTTTAAATTATAAGAAACAACAGAATTTGAACCTTGTTTATCTCTATCGGTAGCAATTACACGGCCAACAGTAGCTCCGATCTTTTGAGTTTCGGGAAAATTAAATTTATAGTTTGATTTTTCAAATTCGGGTGCATTATCATTGACATCTTGAATTGTAATAGTTAGCGGCGTTTCAGCTTGCCATGAACCATCAGCAGCAACAACATTAAGTAAATATTCGTCTTGAACTTCACGATCTATGGGAGATGCAACATATACTTTTCCTGTATCAGAATCAATTTTAAACATATTTCCTGGATTTTCTGTAAATCTATAGGTTGCTTTAGCGTTTACGCCCACATCCAAATCTGAACTTGTAATACCAATAACAAATGAACCAACTTCTGTATTTTCAGTTACGTTGACACTGAATAAACGAGTAAATCTTGGGGGATTATCGTTAATATCAAGAACAGTTATGTGTACCATTGTGGATCCAGTGAGCGATGGATAACCTTGATCAACAGCTTCCACCACCAGCGTATAATGATCATCAGTTTCTCTATCTAATTTTGTGTTAGTTACTATTTCTCCGGAAATATCATCAATACTAAAAATGCCATTAATATCATCAACTATTCGATATGTTATAATACTATTTTTTCCAGCGTCTTTATCGATTGCCAAAACAGTTGTAACTGAAGTAGGTGGAAGAGTTTCTTCTTGAATAGATACAGTATAAAATGGATATTCAAAAACAGGTGGATTGTCATTCTCATCAGTAACATTAACAGTTAATAAAACAGCACTTCTTAGCTTCGGTTCATCTGAATCTGAAGCTTCAATCCAAATTTTATATTGATTCGATTTTTCATGATCAATTCCATTTTTACCTATTACTACTTCACCGCTAACCGAATCTACCTCAAACGTGTTATCAAAATCACCTCCTGCAATAGAAAAACGTAGAATCCCTTTTGACCCAATTTTTGGCGTTGTTGCCAGAATTCGAGATACTCCACTGCCAGGGCTTGAATTTTCCACAATTGATAACTGCTGTGTCCCAACATGTCTTACTACAGGGAAGTCTCGATCTGGCCAAAGGATCACGGTCAACTCATATTCTGCACTTTTTGGCGGTTGTCCTTTGTCACTAGCTTCGATTTTAATCTTATACTCCATCTTGTCTTGTTTATTAAGCTTTTGAGTTGATTCAATTACACCAGTATCCTCATCTATGTGAAACATATCTATATCTCCTGCTATTAAATGATAAATAATTTTCCCATTATTTCCAGAATCTAAATCTGTAGCAGTAACTCCGAATATAAATTGCCCCGATTGAGTTTTATCAGAAATATAAATAATACTTTGCGAAGTTGAAAATATTGGATAATTGTCGTTAATATCGTTAATAAATACAGTCAAATTAGTTATTGATGCTTTAGGTTCTGTTACACTTGAATCTTGAGCTACTACTGTTAGGTAATATATTTCATTCTCTTCTCGATCCAGTTTAGACATTGTCCTTAATATACCTGTATCGTCATCCATTTGAAATGTATCTTGTTTATTTCCTAAGAGGCTGTACCTATAAAGCAATGAATAAGTATTAAAAAAAAAAAATTATAAAAAACAGATTTATGATATGTATTTATATTTGTAAATATTTTTTAGAAAACATACTTAATTTTAGCGTTCAACCCGATATCGGAATCTGTAGCTGTCATTTGAGTAATTGAATGTCCAATCGGACTGTTCTCGTCAATGTGTACTACATAATTTTGTTGTTGAAATTGTGGACTATGGTCATTAACGTCTTGAACAATTACACGAATAAATCCAGTGCCACTCAATGAAGGCATACCTGAAAAAACAAAACGATAAAGTAAAACAATAATTTTAAATATTTCGTAGAATATTGTTGTGTTTTATTTACCAGAGTCCATAGCTACTGCAGTGATTAAATGTTCAGATTGAACTTCTCTATCTAAACTTCTTACGAGATAAATTTTTCCAGTAACGCTGTCTACGGAAAAATATTCGGTATCCTTTAAATAATATCTCACTCTGCCGTTATAACCAGAATCAGCATCTGTTGCTTTTACTATTGCCACAGGAAATTCTTTAGTTTCAGGAATATATTCTTCGAGAACATGGATAATATACGGCGAATCGGAAAAAACTGGATAGTTATCATTTATGTCCAGAACGGTAATTATAACCGTAACTTCGTCGGAATTGATACGGTTGTCAATGCTATCTTCGGCTTTAATAGTTAACACGTAGCGAGATTTACGTTCGTAATTAAGATATTTCGATACCCGTATTAAACCGGTGTCGTCAGCAATACTGAAATCCAAGTTCTCATCTCCGTTCGTGATCGTGTATCTTATTCCGGCGTTAGGACCAATGTCTTTGTCAGTCGCGAACAATTGAATGACCGTGTATCCGATAGTTACATTTTCGGGAACGGACGCAGTGTAATGCCTCGGATCGAATATCGGACTGTTATCGTTTTCATCCAGAATATTAACCGTTAATTTCATAATCGAACTTAGAGAAGGGTCACCGCGGTCTTTAGCGCCTATTTCTAGCTGGTACGCAGATTTCGTTTCACGGTCTAAAGGACTCGCTACTCTCAAAAGCCCGTCGATAGATCCAATTGTAAACGCTTTTTCGTCCCCGGAGTTTATCCAGTACTCGACAAATCCGTTTTTATCCTCGTCGTTGTCAACAGCTTTTAAAACCGTGACTATCGTTCCGATATCTACGTTTTCCATTATTGCGGTCGTGTTCGGTGTAATCCAGTGAGGCGAACAGTCGTTAACGTCCTTGATTGTAATTGTCATCTATGATACGTAGCAAACTCATTAATAATCGTATAATACAATAAGATTATGCTTCGTCTATTTAAATTGCCGCGTTGCTTATTACCTGCACTGTGGATGAGAGTTCGGAAGCCGCCGGGCGTCCCCCGTCCTTGGCAACTACCACGAGATTATACGAAGCCGTGGTCTCACGGTCCAAACTGCGATGTGGCCAAATAGTGCCATTGTCCTGATCAATAGTGAAATCATTATCTTCTTGGTCTAGAGACTGGATTGAATACCTTATTTTCCCGTTGATTCCTGTAGACGAAAAAATGCGATGCGCATTAATTTTTTTGTCGTAACAAAAAATATCGCGAAACCGTCTAACTAAACCATTATAGTTTTATTGGAAAAATAATAATAATAATTCTAAGACGAATGTGTTCATCGGAGCGTTCGTTTATAAATAAAAAAAATACCCGCATATATAAATTTTCGTAGAAAAAATGTCTATAAAAAATGATTTACATTAAATAAAATTATAAACATCACGCAATCGATAAAATCGTACATATATTATTATATTTTTACATCTCGACACGTGACTTTGGCCGAATGCCTACATACACTGGGTATTATAGATAGGTAGGTATGTAGGTAGGTAGGTAGACAGGTAGATAAAAATCGATGATCGGATAATAATAATGTTATACCTACGTATACATTGCGATGTAATATAATTATTTCAAATTATGTATAAAAATAAGAAGTCTTAGTTTCCCCCCCTCTCTCCCACGCCGCGGTACGAAGTTGACGGATTGAAATATTATTATTATACTAAATGTCGCCGAAGAATAAAAAAGAAATAAAAAGAAATGATAAAAAAAAAAATATATCGTTTACTAATAAGACACGTGTTCCCGCTAACCGCCCGGATACCACATGCACGCGCGAGAGTAAAGAGTAGTAAACGGCGGCGCTAATATTTACCCGAATCACGATCCGTCGCCATCACCGTCGCCACGGCCGTGTTGACAGTAGCGTTTTCGTAAACATCCACGCTGTAACTGTTTGTCTCAAACACGGGCGCGTTGTCGTTTTCGTCGATAACGTTTATGTACACCGTAACCGTCGAGGACAACATCGGCTTTCCCGCGTCCTGGGCCTGGACGGTCATGATGTAATGTTGCACCTGAACACAAACACGCGCGGGTACATGATATTATTATTAACATCGTATAATAATATCATAACCGTACAACATACTACGTGTATTATTCGTATTTGTACATTGATCGGAGACCGTTTACCCCGCAGGCTGTACCACGACAACTAACTGCAGTCTGGTGTGGCTGCCGGGGTTACCCGAGTGCGTCGGGAAAAAGGTGTCACCCGAGTGAGTCCCAATAAAAAAAAAAAAAATGGTCATTTTTGTAACGCAGCCAGAACACGTTCCAGTTCATTTAGAGTCACCCTCGGTGAACCACGAGCAAGTGAACTGGTTTACACCCCAAACATTTTTATTCATTTTTTATGTTTTACATTAAATTTGTTTTATTTTTATACTGTTTTTACACCCGTTCATTTTGGATGAGTGTACATATTGTATTATACTTAAAGTTTTACTAAAAAATGTATTATATTAAAGGCTGGTGTTTGAACGCTATTCTTATCGTGTTGCAGCTTAACATGCTATCTGGCAATGACGTTTTTTGAACAACTTGAAGATAACGTCACTACTTCGATATTAGATACGACAAAAATTACAGCACTACTTGGTGTTTTCGTTCACTAGAAGACTACACGACTACTAGCCGTGGTCTAAGCTAAGTTATTATCAAAATTTAAATAAAATTCTGTTTCCTTTATACTCTTGTTTAGCCTAGTTTGATTTATCACCGAGCTCGTCATACACGCGTGCCTTGTACACATTTTCAAAATCGACTCCCACGCCCGTTATCTTGTCTTGGATTTGTCCCTGGCTTAAACCGTGTAATACGGCTCGATATTTGTATACAATATTTTAAACGCTCGTATTATTTGAAAACTTAATAGAATGCCGGGCTAAAACACACGTCATAATATTATTATTTCCGTATACCTATTAAGTTTTTTTGTACACGTTTTCGTTTAAATTATTACATTAAAATGTATGGCGATAAAATTTCGTTGTTCTAAATTTATCGATGAGGTCGAAAATCTTAGCCCCACACCCCCTTATATTTTCGCCCATCGTGTCTCAAGTAAAAACGTATTTATATAGCTTCCCTCGATTGAAAATCCCGGCTTCGCCACTGGTTCAAATTAAAATACGAGAACAATATTTTGCTCGGTGACACGTATTTTATAACAAGCGGTCTGGATAAATTTTAATCTCCCGGACTAATTTCGATTCCCACTCCATTCCTGCTTATCATTGCAACAGATCACCCCGCGTACACTGAACAAACAAGTATAATATCGCGTATATGCAGTACTCACCTCCTCGTAATCCAGTTTTCCGGTCAGGGAGAAAGCTCCTGTGTGCGGATCGATGTTGAACACGTCGTTGGCCCAATCGCTTATCACCGAGTACGTGACCACGCCGTTGACGCCCTCGTCCTCGTCCACGGCCAGTATGTCACCGATTTTCATGCCTCTCGCCGTGGCCTCGCTGACGTCCAGTGAATAAACGCTTTTCGCGAACGACGGCGCGTTGTCGTTGGTGTCGAGAATCTATATGCACACAAGTAAAAAAGCACGTGTATCGTTTTTTAATGGGCGCCGTAGAAAATAACGAACCGTTTTTTTTCATTTTGTATTACGAAATAGTTGTTATCGAATATCGCGCGCGGGTTAACCACCGTTTGGAAATGTATATAAATATCGCAGCGTTTAATAAAAACGACTTTACCGCGGGGAACACCTATTTAAATTACTTCTTTTTTTTTTTTTATCTACCGCGAAATTTAATTTGTTTTAATGTCTTTACCATTCGATATGAATAATATTATAATGGCGGCGACTGGCGAACGGAGACTTCAACGCGCGGTTAGCGCGGATAACACTGCTGCAGAAATGATATACAAGGCATTTATCATTACCCCGTTTAATTATTATTAATACCAACTCGATAATATTGTGTTTACGGAAGGCGGTATATACTGCCCCGCGTAGTACCCGCGCGACGGTTATTTAAATAAATATAATATTATTACGCATTCCATATACGTAAAACGAAACCATATAATATAATGTGTCTAGTTAATAAAATACAAGCGAATAATCGGAGATCGCGTGATGTTTGTGCATATATGATTGCATTATATATTATATATATTATTATTATAGTATAGGTATATATGTATTGGTGTATAATATAGGTACTATAGAGAATTATTTTACAAGAAATTTATGGCACGTGCCAAATAAGCGCGGAACCGACGTCGACGAGAAGAACGTGTTTGGTATATAAAACCAACGATTGCAGGACTGAGAAATAATTTAAACACGGCGAGAAAAATCGACACTGCCGTTGATAGATTTTAGTCACAATATCTTCTAATACTTCTATACATGCACACACACACAATTAATAATCTGAGTATTCATAATTTGAGATGCTCGTATGTCTTCAACGTTAACAATAACGCGCACTTGCATCAGATTTATTTTTTGTTTTCCGCTATATGAAACCGATTCTCGAAATATTATAACCATAAACTAGAGATTTGACGGACTGTTCGGTTCGGTTCGAAAGTCATTCGATGCCGATTCTACGCGATTACCAATACAATGTTCTGTGATAGTATACAGAGCGACCATGTTACGAAAAAGTAAATTTCTAAATTTGTCTAAGTTTTTGAACTAATCTAACCAAAGTTTTTTACTTTTTTAAAGTTCGTTTCGGTTTGAGTACAAATAGAAATTTGTAGGTTCGGTTCGGTTCGTGTTCGTTAATTTTAAAGAAAGTTAGGCTAGGTTTGGTTCAACCTTAACAATCAGGGTTCGTAACATCTCTACAGTATATACACATACACCATATATACGCTGCAATCAATGTAGATAATATTATATAAAGGCAAGGATAGCATGAAAATATATCGAAAATAACTATATCGATAATTCACGACGAAAAAAAAAAACGGAATTCAAAATGCAAGCGTTACACTTACGATAAATAGTACGGACGTGTCGCTATCGTGTATCCCGTCGGATACCCGAACCGGAAGCACGTGTCTGGGGCTGGTCTCTCTATCTATGGGCTTGCGAACGCGGACGATGCCCGTGTACGCGTCCAAGATCAGTGGCGAGCTATTGTCGTCGTCGCCGATTATCGTGTACGTCAGCGTCGAATCCAAATCGGGGTCGGTGGCTTTCAACGTGGCGACCGGCGAACCGATCGGTATTTCCTCGGAGATTTTGTACTCGATCGGCGCGCTCGGCCACATCGGACGGTTATCGTTTTTGTCCAAAATCGTCACTTTCACCTTTGGAAAGAAAAAAAAAACAAACACACAAATAAATATTATACGTAAACAAACGTTCGAACATATTATTATAAATCATTGCGGGCAAGCGGCGCGGCATACACGTTCGCGAATCCACTCATGCGTAGTAGTCGTCCGTACGGGAGCCAAAAAAAAAAAAAAAAACGCTAATTGGCTCCATGCTGTACACTTTTGTTCCCATATATTATAATCTCGCATCGGCGGCGGCGCAGAATATTATATTATTCAAATCGATGTTATCTTATTAAAATAACTTAACGCATTCCGGATCATGTTCTCAAACACCGTACCTACCTATATATTTTCATTCAATGGTGTTACCTTTTTTAATGACCCGAGCAATTGCGCCGGAGCATGACGGCCAGAAAAACTATACTCTGTTCAACCGTTTAGGCAGGTACCTACTGCCGCCATACAGCGATGCGCTTCCGTACGTTAAGATATTATATATATGTGTATTTTTTTTTTTTTTTTTTTTTTTTTTATAATAATTTCACCTGTTTCAGAGAATTCCCGATCGGGAAAAAAAAAAAAAGTAATAATAAAACAAGAATTCCGAAAACATTTTTTCCTTTCTTTTACGTGTATACCGGTATATACGTGTGTATTTTACCTATTCTACGCGCGTGATGTTCAGTTTTATTTTTGTATTTCTTCAAGAAGACGCGCGTACGTTGTTTATAAGTAAAAGTAATAGTATTATTATATACGGTTGCGCTTTGAATGTCCGCGAATAAAACACGTTGCAGCGTTTGAAAATATTTAAAAAATAAATCCGAATTGACGCATTCTCGTGCCCGAGTATAATATTATAACTGCATAGAGTAAGTGGGTTTTGTAGTAAAACTGTAAAAGAACCGAATCAATTTAATACCTAATGTGGGGTTTTTTTTTTTACCACATACCGTTTCGGGGTTATAACCACTACCTAAACTGTATAATTTATTTTCTTTACGTTAAAATATTACAATGATGTTCGTGCACGGATCCAAGAGGGTAGCGTTTAGCATTAGCCCTCCACTCCACCCCTTTGGATACGGTTATAATATACCTGTATGACACACAAACGGGAAAATTCCTATATACGGGGATTCATATATATTTATTCCGATGTAAATCCTATATTCCTATCCCATTTATAAATTCCTATGTCCCACGATTATTAGACAAACGCAATAATTTGTCGAAATTGTTTACCAAAATTCAGCTTACGAAGAATTTTTTCATAACTTTATCTTAATTTAATGTATAGTCAATGTAAATTTAATGTATCATACATTTATTCGCATGTTTTAATAGAAAAAAAAATTATACATTAATACTATTTTCGCTGTAAAATTCGTAACAAAAATCTAATACTTGAAGAAAAAAAATTTTAATATTAATAAGTAATATTAAAATTGCACAGTACGTGAAATTTTTGGACATTTCGCGGCATATTTAAGTGCAAATAACTCAAATATTTAAGAGGATTAAGCCTCTATTATAGTATCGATATAATATTGATTATGTATACTTAGTATTTATACTTTATAAGATTTTAATTCGGTGGGGCTCGCTACGCTTCCCCTATTTTCGCCAATAAGGAGTACCTAATACGTATGTAAAACAGCGTCACGGAAGTACTTGTCAAACGTTTTTTATGATTTGGAAAAATGTATTATCGTACACACTCATTACATATTGTTATGTATACTTAAATTATGTTGGTTGTCCTTCTCGAAAAAAATGTTTAGCCCTCCCCCTCCCATTTCAGATTCCAGTTATAGATCCTATAGCGCCTGATGTTGTTTAACGTATATTTTAGTCGTTAAAAATATATGATTGTTCTTATAATTACCAGTAATTATATAATTTACGCGTTATGGTAATGATGAGATTAAACCATTAGCATTTTATACAGCGTGTAATAATTTTCGTTTTTAAAAATTCTTTAGGAAATAGCTGTCGGTCAAGATTTTTTATATAAATAAATTATAATATCAAGTCACAAAATAACTATAGGTAACAACAATACCTGTATTTTTTTAAAAACGGATACCATTATTTATAATTCTTTAATTTTTTTTTTTTTTTTTACCGACAATGTGCACATAGGTAGGTACAAGATTTAAAAAAAAAAAACTTTGACCCGCCATACATATCACGTAGCGTTTAAAATATTTAATAAACATTTTTTTATGTGAAAAATCTATAATTTCTATAGAAATACCTACATACCTATTAATATTTTTAACGGACATCGAATTGTATTTCGTACATTTTTTCGTTGTACTACAAGACGCATTCTTTATAATGCGTATTTTACGAAATATTATATTATTGTCGTGCGAAAACTGCTGCAGAATATATCATCGTCTACCGCACGAATTATACACATTATATTTAAACGTGTATAATTTTACCCCGCGACCATAATAAATAGCGAATAAAACATCAAATTATAATCTACAATTTTAGAGTTCAAAATTTTTATTACGATCAACTGCAGTATAATACCTACACCGTCTACGGCTAGGTATACTATTATAAATATATATATATATATATATATATATATATATATATTACAATAATTTGAGGGCTTGACAGTTTCAAGGTAAGACAGCGTTTTTTATAGTACAAATTGTTGTTAAAACCTGTTTCCCCAAATAAATCCCACAGTAAGTCAAGTTTTATAATAGTGTAACAAAGGAACGAAATAATATTATGTTTTCGAATACCTACCTACCTACCTATAATAATATTATAGTTTTATATTCACTGTATAGACGATGATCTTTAACCGAAATTTATAATTTTTAAAATCGTCGTTGAAAAATGGTACCCATAATATAATGTTACAATAATAATACGGAAAACGTACAATATTTTTAACGTGCGAGCACTTTACATTGTAACAATGTTGAAAGTAAAATGTGGTACGGAGTTTTCAAAAAAATACCGATTTTATGAATTATATTACCTACGCACAGATGTTGGTCGGAACGCATAATAATAATAATATAATATGCAAATGTTATGGTTTTAAAATTGAATTAAAAACGTATTAGTTATTATCGTAATAATTTTGATTCAATGCAGAGCTTCGTGAAAACGTAAAATGTATTTACACTCGATACATACGCTTGTTAATATAATATATATATATAAGTCGCTCGTCATCATTTTGAAAAGTTCGTAGGTAATTACGAGAATCGAATTGTAACGAAACGTAACGTACTGGTATTTTTTTCGACGGACTTAAAAAATAAAAAAAAAAAAAAACGTACACATTCTTACTGAACCGGTACATTGTTATTTGGTATTTTTAAACGAGTCTTTCCGCAGGCATCAAAAAAGAAGTACAATTGATGTTAATTAGTTTACTATACCGAAATGGATATTATATATTGTATATATATATATATATACCTATACATTTTTTTTCCAAGGGAATTGTTTTTTTTTTTTTTTTTTTTTTTTTTTTTTTTTATGGTATAGGGGTAACATGTTTATCGGCGGCAGTTAGTTAAAACAAAAAATAAAAAAATAAAATAAATATTATGCCTTCCTATATAGCCGTACAACATGCGTTGTAGACACGATTAATTGTGGCTATTCGTGTAGGTATATATTATATTATAGTATCGTGTAGTGTAGTTTAGTGCGTATAATACTCAACTGTATAATATATAATATTATATTGTATAACGATCCCGACACAATATACGACGACAACGTAATATTTTATTTTGGATTCGTGAAGATTTTTAACATTTTCATAAAATAATAATTATTATTATTAATATTAATACTGTACACGGGTAGTCCACGCGACGACAAACGAAAAAACAAAACGATTGTGAACCGAGCAGTAGGTATTATAGTAGTACTAGAAGGTTTTTTTTTTTTTTTTAACAAAAATAAAACAGATATATCGAAATTTGTTATTAGTTTTTAAATGCTGTATATAACAAAAAAAATGACTATACCGCGCGAAAAATCCGCATCTTATAAGTGTGAATAATTTCGAGCATTTTTATTAACCGAAAAAATTTGTGCGACGTTTTCCGAGAAAAAAAATATACTTAATAATACGAGTATATTATCGTAAAACAAATAGTTTTTCGTTACACACAGAATCTGAAAAACGCCGACATTCGTCATTTTGGCATTAAATACTATAACGATGCACACTTCCGAATAGTTTACAGTATCGATAGTTTGGATGAACTATCGAATGTTTCATTCTAAATTTTTTTTCCATAACCGCATATAAGCACCGCAAATAGCTCTAATTTTCAGGGGAGTCTCGTCCCTCCACATAATATGAACAAACCCCCCAACCCCCATCCACAATCCGTGACTATAGTAACCGAATTACAAACATTTTTATTTTATTTTATTTTTCGGCAAATAAATTTACAATATCATATTTCCGCCATAGGCATGCGCCGGGAGTATGCAGGATATGCAGCTGCACATCAGGCCCGGATTCAGGGGGGAGAATAGGGGGCTGAGTCCCCGGGGTTCACGAAAATCATATTATGAATTTAATCAAATATTTACGAAAGAAATATGTACGTTTTATGTTCTAATTCAATTTTAATTTTAATTTAAACAGTTGGTAAGACATTTCAATATCTGTGTATATTTTTTTATCAGAGTTTTACGAGCTTAAAATAACTCCCAGGGGCGCTAGTGACAGCCTTCTACAGCACACCCTGAAAAAGAGGCCTACGCACGATATCCGTTTATATTATTCGACAAATCCCTCTCGATATGCAACACGGGCAGAGGTGAAAGATGATAGTCTGCTTCAGAGTCGACCTCGAACAATAAGTCACCGTCGAAATCGCGTTGATCGTAATATTGTGTTTCCCGCGCGTATACACCTGCACATCATTGGCTTTTATAATGCATTGTTGTGTCCGAGAGTATTTAATAAACACACGGAATATATGCTATTTATACGTCATTAAAAAATAATAATGCATAGCGAAAACAGAATTTTTTTTTTAACAACTATTATAATTGCGTTTGATTTATGAGAAAAAAAAAAATGATATATTCTTATAAGTACTCAAAACGTTTGAACCGGAGGGACTCGGCAGCGACATTTGAGAAGGAACGCGTCCCCACGCCCCTATTTGTGACAAACCGGATAGTTCGAATGCGATCCAATTATCGAATAGTCCGATGGTAATACTGCAGCAGCATTCGGTTGTGCCCGTCATCACTAGTGAATAACATCGCAGCTATAATACTACATTGAGAACGGTAATAATATTATTATATTGTATTGAGATTGAATACGCCGGCCACGCGAACCACTGTATTTACGTATTTTCGCCAAGTGTACACCGGCGAATGTTAAATTTAAAAAAAAAAAAAAAAAAATACATATAAGCAATAGAACAACCTCCGTTCTATGCCTGTTGAAAAAAAAACAACACACACACACGCACAAAAAAACAATCAGGAAATCGAGTGATATAGTTTTAAAGGAGGCTATTAAAAATATTTTTTAATGGTTATTCGACCTGTTGCGGTGCTGTAAAAGTGCTTCTGGAATTAATGAAAAATGTAATATACGTGCTGCTCGTGTACCGAAAACAAATTATCCCGCAGCGGATGATTCTACACGGTGGCGGTGACTATATTACGTATATAATAATAATATTAGGTATAGGTACCGAGTAATCAAGCCTATATCAACCTACCTGCCGAATATCCGACCGTATAAATAATGAAAAAAAAATAAATAAATAAATAAAAATCGCATATTTTTTTTTTTTTTTTTTGACACATATACTTCCGCCTGTATATACATACGATCCAAACAATGTAACGTCATAACTCGTTATTAATATTATTATATTATAGATATACGCGCAATCAATATTATATACGTGTACGTACATAAACTCGTTATCCGATTTTAATCCAATCGAAATTTTCACCGAATATTAATGGGTATACCTATAGAGGTATCTATAAATTGATGTGTTATAACGCCGCCGCGTGCAACAACCCGCGATCGACTCGATGATTTAATTAATAATTTATTCACCGCGGCTACCGCCGAATAATTATATTGAAAACATAGATACGACTGAAAATCGTGAAAAAAAAAAATAAATAATAAAAAACACCCGTCCGTATTATACTTTCCGCAACGTTCAATAATCTATTTCGTCTACGCGATTCGTTTTTTACGAATTATTATTATCTATAGGTATTATTCGATAGAAAAACAAATTTTTTTTCGTAATTTATAATAGTATACACATACATCAACTTAACTAATCTATCACGTAATTTATACTTAATTTCAATACGTTGAACTGTGTTGGTAGTTTAATAATCCAAAACGGTGAATGGGCGAATGGGCTCCCAATGTAGGCTCACCTATTGTTGGCGAATTCCCGCATCGACCGTTGAATATCGGCTCACGATAACGCGAAATGATATTTTTGTCAAAGAGCGATTCTCGAAATGCATTTCGAGCAACCTAAGTTTTTCACTCGAAATACGATTCCCGATTTTATACGCCGCGTCTAAATATTTTCAACTTCGTACGTACGACGGTGCTCAAGCTGAAGGAGGAAAGAACGAGAGAACGTCCGAAAACTTTATACTTCCAAAATCCGAAGCAGGATGCAAATGGATATCGCATCATATTTACAACCGAGGAAAAGATAGCAAACGACAGGAACATTATGGATATCGTGACAAGACGCAGCACTTAGATGATGAATCACGATTTCACTGACCGAGGTCATGCGTGATATGTTACCGTGATAACAGTGATAAGATTAAAACATTTAACATTATTACATTCCAACTGGGTATGTTTAGTTAATTATTCTAATGCAGCGTTCCACAAACTGCGGATCGCGGACCCACTGGTCAGTCCCGGGTCGATTTTCGGGAGATCGCGAAAATTGTTTTCAATTACGTAGATTCCAAGAATGTATTGGTTTTGCAATGGCGTTTATTATTATTACTTCGTTTTAATCTGTGAACAACTTTTCTACCGGCAATTTTCAAGTTTCCGAACTGGGGCGGTACTTTGGGGAGGTAATTTTTTTTTTTTTTTTTGATTCTCCCGCATATTTTCCGTTTTACGTCCGAAAACTATAGATCTATACGGCAGGTCGGCCGTAGGGTTTTCGTTTCTGCGCAACGAAATATTGTCCGGCGTAACCGAACGTTGGCCCGGAACGAAGCGGCCGCACCGCGGTTAACTTTACGAAAGAACGCGGGCCGGCGTCCGGTCGTGACACCGGTGGATGTTCGGCGCCACTAGCTGACTGGCGCGGTGCACCCGGACGAGCGGCAATTAATCGTGTATGACGGTGGTGAAAAAGCGAAAAAAAAATAAAAAAAAAAAAAAACCGCTCGTCGAACAATACCGGGCCGAAACGCGATCGCTACTGCGCGCGTGAAACCGTGTCGGTCGCGGAATGCCGGCCGCTCGCGCACAACACCCGTGGCCCGCGTGTCAACGACATAATAGGGTATCTATAACGGAATTAAAACGTATTGGAACGGCGCGTTCGACACCGACGCGCGTTATCGTTTCGCGGGACGACAGTGGTCCACCGCACGGCGCATTATTAGGTTTTCGTCGCGATACAGGCACGCGTACAAACCGCGTGTCGCGCGAACCCGTAATCACAACGACAACGACAATCAATAACAACAATAACAATAACAACGTAACCCGTGCCCGATTCAGTTTTTTTACGCGAACGGCGGCTGCCCGCGCGGGCCATTTTTTCAGTACAACACGACACGGCGGCGCGACGGTCAGACGCCGCCGTACTATTACGGCACCGCCCCGGCACCGTTTATTTATACGCGCCGGCCGTGTGCGACGCGCCGAGACATCGCGTCGGATATTTTTACGCTTTTACCGCGTACGATCGGTAGTATTGTTATTATCACAACCGTTTATTTCTAACCCGCGTTCGGTTTATCGTTTACACCGTGTTATACTAGAGTATCGCGTAATGTCGCGTAGGTATATCATCGTATTATCCGCGCGCGCGCAACAACAGCAGTTTTCTTTCTCTCTCTCTCTCTCTCTCTCTCTCTATCAGCTCTCTATGCGTCCCCCCGGAGTCCGCATACAACGTGCCCGGCGCGGACAGCGAGTACCACACGCGTACGTTATTATTGCGGCGTATGAAATATTCATCGTTCTAGAAGAGGAACCCATTATACGCGTATGCGTGCCCACGTGACGTATCCAATCCGATCGGCGGAATTTCTCGCAGAAAACGGGATTACGAACGCGCGCGCGCACGATACTACGGGTACCCGTATCTATTATGTATACACGTAAGACGGCGGCGGCGGCGGCGGTCACCGTCACCGCGACAGTTTTTGTACGCGTACGATACGTTATTGCGGGACAGTGGTACGCGCCTCCTACACGCCAATGTAATTATTGTCACATGATTTGATTTCAATAACCCCCCCCCCCAGTATTTCATATCGTATTTGTATATATTGTGTGTGCGTGTGTGTGCGCACCGGCGGCGTGTATTTTTCGAAAACCGCAAAAAAAAAAAAACCACGGCACGGACAATATATTGTAAAAATTTAAAAATCCGCGCTCTTTCGATAAGGCGAAATGGCCCGTTAAAAACAAAAAAAAAAAAAAAACAAATCCGATACTGCTGACGGACGTGCCGCTGTTTTAGGAGAAACCGCGGCGACGGGAGTTGGTTATCATACAGAATAATTGAATTTACATCTGTATACGCGACGATAACCCAATGAAAAACGATTTTGAACAAATGTGATATAGAATATTAATCGTATCAGTTATCGAATTGTGTCAGTTCGAACGCGACTATCATATTTTCATCGTGGAAAAATGCAAAGTGTCCGGTCAGAGAAAGAATAAGGAGTTTATGGGACCGTACCAGTATATAGTCATTCGCGTGACATTTTCGCTTTTTTGATAATAAACATTTAATAGCGGGGTACTTGTTTCCAAACTGCGCAATAATGAGAGGAAGAGTCCATTTTATAAATGAACACAACCCGCAGCCGCCGCACTGAAATCAACAACTGTCGGCCAATTTTATCGGCCGACGTCTGAGGCACTGTGACCGTGTCCCATCTGTCTGACGAAAATTATCGGATGGCCGACGTAGGCGCCACTGTGACCACAGCCTAACACGCTGTACGGTTTTTGGCGGATTACCGAACGCGGCGATAATTGACAACGACAACAATAGATCGCGTAAATAATATAATAGACGCCCGTGCACATAAAGACATGGGAAACGGTGTTGCGTTGATATTGGACAGTATAATTATGCGAGATGTCGATATTTTTTTAAAAAAAAAAACCAATTGGAAAAAAAAAAAAGAAGCGTATAGATTTTTATTTTCTCAATAAAAATCGTTCGAGTTTTTGTAAAAATTGAAAATTACTCGAACATTTGGTAAAATACACAGGGCCTTATGTTGGGGAATTCAAAGCCCATTTCCCGACAGTCACGAAATGTGACATATTGGCCCTTCGGACACCGCCTTTTTTCAAAAGCCTTCACGGGAAACCCGATTCATATACGTCCGGAACAACCGATTCGGACGCGGTCCTCCGCCCTTACGAAACCGCCGCGCGGGATCCAATACTACCGGCGTATAGATTTTCGCGCCGATAGTAATAATATGCCGACAACAATATAATGTTATAGGTAGTATAATATTTACAGTACGGGCCAACCACCGATAGGTATTAGGTATCTGCAGGTATATACCTAGGTGGGTATACGAACCCGTACAATTATTGCGCAATTAATTATGATGATTAACCACAGTTTTTTTTTTTCGTCCATACCCATATATACATAATAATAATACGTATTTAATATTATAATGCGAAAAAAAAAAAGTGTATATACGCACATTCAACGCGGTACCTATCATACACGTACACGTATATTTATATGCTCGGACGCGGTCCTGTTTCTTATGAGTTTAAAATCAGTACCCATACGCCTTTAGGCGTATTTGCGGTTTGCGCCGCCGCGCGATGCCGCGTCCGCCAATGGGGAGCAAGCAAAAGGAAATATTATTCAGACGCTATCGTGAGAACGTGGGCGTGTCCAAAAAAAATGTTGAATCTATTCAACTCCTCGTGATTAAAATCAACGTCTAGCCCCGCTTTTTCAATGTTATCACAATATAATATTATATACATATAGTCGAATACGTGTGCGCTGTATACATATACATAGATACACGACTATACGCCGCGAGTCGTTAAAAATGAAAAACGGAATTGTGTCGTCCCGCAGCGAAACTATAGCGAGAGACCGTCTCGGAAGTATGATGGCGGTTAGGTATATACGCACGGTGTGGGTAAATCGCGTTACATATTTTCACGGAAAGAAAAAAAAAACAAAAAAACAAAAAACAAAAACGCGGTCTCGAATTTGTTTCCGTCGTCTTCTTCGTCTTGAACGCGACACGTGTCTAAATATCTTTTTATGGGTTTTAACTCGCAAAGTGCCCCGAGTGAGCAATATATTTTAAATATTTTCTCCGCCGTCGTCTCTCAAGTTCTCTCTCTCTCTTTCTCTGTATACACGTATATTGTATACCTATACACACCGCAGTTACCTATAACAGTACGCGACCGCAAACGACACGCCAAAATCTTCAACTGTCGGCTTTAATTTATTGTTATGAGCGCAATATATATATATACTGCAGCATACATAAAGTCGCCGTACGCGTCCTTTTTTTTCCGTTTTTTAACCGTGAGAAGAAGAAGAAGGCGAAAATAAAAAAAACGACCGAATACGCGTCAAACACATCCGCGCAAGTATATTATAATACTATTCCGGAGTCTCTCTCACTTACTCTCTCTCTCCGATCGTTGCGCAATATTATTATTTTTTTGATCGGCGATTTTTACTAATTAACTGCGACTTTGTCAACAGACATATTTTACGTTTGATTGTTGAACGAATACCGGGAGAAAATGGAACGGGACGGGAGAGAGAGACGGAGAAAAAACGATTTTTATTAGACACTCCAAAGCACTCTCAAACGCATTAGCATACCGATATCCTCTATGCGTATATTATACACACATTATTATTGTATATACACGAGCGGTACAGACGATAATAATATTATAAATTCACTTTTTTCCTTTTTTCCTTTTTTTTACAACGTTAATAATTCTATAACATCAGAGACACGTTTTTAAAATATACATACGTTCCGAATAAAAGATTATTACCGGCTATACGTTATAATATATTATGTTTATTTACGGAATCATAAATACGATATCGAGCTATATAGACGATATTATTATTATTATTATTATGATAATAATGCGTAATATTATATTATATAATTATTGTAACGCCATAAAATTATAAAACTTATTCGGAGTCGGACGGCGTACATCGCGAAAACCGATTGTATTGCATCGTATTTTTGCTGTCAGTGAACGACTTTTTTTTACCGAGAAACTTGCTCAGAAGTACGGACTGAAGCACCATTTCCGAATGGCGATCTTCTTTCTTCGGCGCGTTTTTCGATTTTCCGAGGGGCTTTCGGAATAATTGGGAAAACCCCGGAAGAAAATAATAGTTAGGAAAAACGGCAAATATATAACGCCGCGGCGCGCCGTAACCGTTCTCATTGGTGTTATTATGTTTACACGATGTTTTCTACCCGGAATACTACTTCAATCGAAAAATAACAAGAGATCGGCTTTGTTACTTTCAACACATAGCAAAACTAACAAAGTAAGCCGTTTTTTGATACACCTAAAGCATTTTTCATAAAAATTGGGCAAAACCAAAAAAGGCGAAATATTTTTTAAATTACGACACGACGATTTCATAATTTTAAATTTTTCCGGCATATGTTTTCTACCATAAATATCGCTCCAATATATAAACGACAAGAGAGCTTTTTTTATGGAATTTGTAATCCAGTTCACAAGTAAATTACTCGTTTTTCGATACGTCTGGTAGTTCTGTAATAATTGAGAAAAACCGAAAATTTACGAAAAATAGAAACTGATAAATTTGTGTGACAAAAAGATAAGGGATCATTGTTCTAGAATTTTTATTCTAGTTGGTGACCAAGAAAGTTGTTTTTTGATTTTCTTTGTAGTTTTTTAATAATTGAACAAAGCCGAAAAACAAGTAGAAAGAAAGGGAAAATTTACGATAATAATTCTATTATTATGTTAAATTTTGTTTTTTTTAATGCAATTCAATTCGAAATATTCATAGAGACTCAAAATGTTGACAGAAAACTTATGCTTACTTTTTCTATACGTAGTAAAACTTTCAAAATATTTGAACAATTTCTGAGCTATTAATAAACATTTTAATTTTACGAGTTTTATACGTAATTTTTATTAGGTAGGTACTCTGTGGATAAAATTGTTAGACTAAACAGAAATGCTTGGAAATCTGATAGGAGATTCAGTCGTACCTATTGTTCAGAAAAAAAAAAATTAGTTTGATGGAGTATTTTTTTTTTTTTTATATAAGTTTTAAATTTTAAAATCAAATTTTGACAAAAATCGTAAATATTACAGCCTTTCAAAACATATCGTACAACCGAACTTTGCTCCGAATCGTTTTTCGTTATCAATGGTTTATCGTTAGTTACACTCATAAATTAAATAACTTTATGTATCCCGCCTTCCACACTAAACATCTACAACAGTGGCCGTACCCCTGTATCAGCTCATTTTTTTTTTTTTTATTGTTTCTGTAAATTAATTCGTTTGTTACCAATGGAGGTAATTGAAAGGGGAGGGTTTGACGTGGCGTTGCCTCTAGGATTTTTATTTTTGTTTTTAAAATCAATATTCGAATCCACCGCTGTCTGATGTGATATTAATTTTGTAATATTTAAATACTTATATATTACTTAAAAGCAAAAAACAAAACAAAACTGAGCATATCATTTTTGAATTGTTAAGTATATATAGTTACAAATACGATACGATCATCGTACAATTGGATATTGTAAAACTGATTATACATAACAATAGTCGGAAAAGTAGAAATGTAAGATAGGTGCATACAGAACTGTTTCATTTATATCTGTAAGCAATTTCGAATGTTTATGAATAATTAAAAATCATCGAAATGCTTTGAAAATCGTATCACATCTCTGCGATTATTTTTAAACAAATTACAAAAAAAAAAAAAATGAAAACAACAAAACCGTCATATCGTCGTACATTTTCCCAGTTTTTTTCTACGGTTTTACCGAATCATTTAAGAACACAAAGGTCACTATTAAAATTACGAGAAAATCCAAAATAACCGACTAAACATAATTCGCTATACCAAACATCTGAAGTTGATGATCGGTACAAGATTTCTGGTAGAAAAGCTATTCGCAGAGAGAAAAAAAAACCACACATAGCTAGAAAAACCAATGCATTCTTCGTTGCGCTAAGATTAAAAAAAAATATATTTATAAATATTATATATAATTTAAAAATACAGAAACTACTTTATTAAAAAAAAAAATCCGTTTAGTTTTTTAATTCGACCAGATTTACTATAATATACTTGCAAAATACAATAACAGTCGCTTGGTTTTCTAATGATGGATTTAAAAAGCAAAAAAAAAAAACGAAACAAAAAAAAATCTCAAGGTGTTTTAACTCCTTATTAAAGGATAGTCATTTACTTTCGGAATTGCATCGTACAATGATAGTTATTGAATCCATATAAGAGGATACTGTTTATTGTTCACCTTCGTAAGTAAAGTTTTTTTTTCTCTACAGATGTTGTGTACACACATATATGTTAACCATATCTATCTGACGAGTTATATTATATATATATACAGTATGTACGCATTCCAATATGGCAGTTTATGCAATTGACAGACAACTTGAATATTATGGGCGTATATAGTCACGGAGGGGTTCGGGAGGGAAGGTGGGGAGGTGGCTTGGCGTATATAAAATCCCGGTCTCGCAGCCGCGTAAAATACCCCTGCAGCAGGGTATTATTATTATTGTTATTATTTGTACACGGGAGTAGAATTTTTACGATTTGACAATTTATGTATTATGAAAAAAAAAAAAAAATCATATTAAGCGCGCGCCAAATTGTTCAATCGAAAACATCTGCTACCGTCGTTGTCGCGACTTAACTCTTTGTGTACGCGATTATTATTATAAAACCTGTGCGGCCACACGTCCGCCATTGCCGGGTATACATACGAACACAGCTGGTAAAATAGCTATTATAACCTATTGAATGATGTGCGTATAGGGGGATTTATTATCCCTCCGCCACCTCAGATTTTTCAAAGGCCGGATATCGTATATCAAACGAACAATACGGGCCCGCGAAATAACGTTTTACACCTGTGAGACGGGGCCGCGAAGCGATCGAGTTCGATAATTTTACCTATACGTTTTCTTCGGGAATTCGATAACCCGACAAAATAATAATAACATAATAATATTTTTATAAAATGAAAGTGCGCGTTATGGACAAAAATATTTGCGCGGACGATTTATATCGATATAATATAATACACAGGGTGTAACCGGACTATTCGGCGTTTTTACATGTGATTACAATATGTAAAAATGTCAAATAGTCGTGTTACGCCCTGTATATAGGTAGTGAAGGCGTCTAATAATCAGTGGGGTGCGCGGGGGAGGGGGGAGGTTAGAGGTCATGTTCCCGTACGGTGACAACTGTGGTGAACATTTATTTGCCGTATAATAGTAATTCCATCCAGAAATTGCATATTACAGCCGAATGCGCGAGAAAAAAGCTCGATTAATCCAATAAAAATTGGTCGTTATTTTTAAAAAAAATCATCATTGTCGGGTCCGATGTATAACGCAGTAAAAGGTTCTGCGATTTACTCACGAATCGTGATTATTATATTTACCGCATCGTTACCGTTGCAAATTCGCGAGCACGACCCCGCTATAACAATATCGCATGCACGATGCATCACATTATACTTGCAACAATCGCATCACACAATGGCGCCCAAACCGTGTTTGACGTGTAGCAGTCGGCGCAAATCATATTCGAGGGGCGGTACAAACGGAGTAGAGTTTCGAGTGATTTAAGGGGTACACTAATAATTGTCTAGTTCCAATAGTCGCGTTGTTCCTTCCGACGATAAATTTTCGAATTTCCGACAATTTTCCGCATTCAAAATATAGTTTGGGCGCCAATGGCACACACGGGTACAAATCGGCGTACTATAAAATAATTTTTTTTTTTTTTTTTTTAAATTAGTGAAATTAAATTTTGTCGAAACGAGAAAACACGAATATTTCTCGTTATACGGTCGCGGAAGTCAACCGATAAAAAATTACAATAATAAACAAATTAAAATTCCACGAATTTGTATGGATTTTTCTTTTTTACGACCCGTTAATCTAAGGAAACGCCGACGATTGTCCGGACATTAAAACGAGACGATAATAATATAATATTTAGATAGGTATTCAAATGATTATTATTAACAATTACAATTTGTGAAAGAAAATAATAATAAACTTAATTTCCAACGGTTTTGAAATTATATAGTTTATTATCCGGTATAACATTAAAAAAAAAAAAACCATAAAATCATATAAATTCTCGAACGCCGTGCCAAAATAATAATAGTATTAGTCTTTAGGAAAAAAAAAAAATATTTATACGTTTCGTGGTTTTTTTTTTATTATTATTATTATTATTATTATAGTAGACGACGTCTTGTAAACGTCCCACACTCGCACACGCACGCCGTGTACCGCCGCCACCGCGTCAGTGTCGCGGGAACCTATCGCGGGGAGTCCTTGACATTTTAAAAAAAAAAAATCGGATTTACACGGCGGTTTACACGGGCGCATAGGCGAAATGTATCAAAACGGTTCAATCCAAAGGATTAGCCGCTATATTGTACACGTATTATACGCGTAGACTGTACGCGCGCATTATACGCGAGTATTATTATAGGTACACGAAGGTATTCGAAACTATTTTATACGTCACGTCTCTAGGTATGCCGGCGGTACAGTCCGGTTTTAGAAATATTTTTTATTTTTTATTTTTTTTTTGTGAATATTATAATACCTATATACACATACGTAGGTGCGCGTATACGCACAATGGTATCGCGAGTACCAACGTCAGTTTGTGCTAAAACACATAGGTATTATACGCGCGTGTGTGTGTGTGTGTGTGTACGAGCGGGCGCGCGCGCGCGTGTATCGTTAGCCGGGCTGTCAGTTTTGCGTATTTAATCATTCGGGCGAATTCGCGTCTTTGCGGACGATCGACCCAGAGGGGCCGGAAAAAATACCAACATAAGAAAATTACGTATACCTACGTATGCATTCGTTCGACGGGATACTATCTCAGTACTCCCGGTGTGATAAGAAACATAGCATTAAAAAAAAAAAAAACTACCGACTATCAGAATTTGAAATTAATATCGGTACGAATTTAATGTCAACTAATTGACGGCCCTGGAAACTTGTGTATTCAAAATGTAATCACACTTGAACAGACGAACAGTTTAACGTTTATGATATTCATTATTCAATGTGTGAATACATACTTGCTTTCTACTTGGACAGACCATGCTATTATAGTTTCACGTGTAAACCCAGGATTTATTTTATTCGAACCAGTAGCAATTCCACCACCATTATTTATTATTGCATATAATATAATACATAATGTACTCATGTAAAAAACTCAATTAACATATCTTCCCTCGCAAAAAAATCCTAAATACGCCTCTAGATTTTATCGGCACCCCGGTAAGCTTTTGTCGAATTATCCCCGAAAATAAAAATTACCCAGACAGCATACAGAATTACAATTGTAACGTTTATCGTTAATAAATAGTTGTTTTTTTAATAATGACATTTTACTTTAATTGATTGGTGTTCATTATATCCTGATCAAACAATATCGCATTAATGTTTATTTAATGTCATTGGGCATCGATTTGAAATTTAATGCGCTTATCACAACACTATTATGTCAATAGAACACATTACAAATATAATACAAATACTACAAAAGCAGCTTGTATAGTATTTGAGTAAAAGTGTTATCATTACCAGTATTTGTTTAAAGGGAGCGATACCCGGAATTAATGTTGTAGCGGGACGAGTGTCTGCCACACCCCCCAACAAATTTAAAAAGGAAACAAACCATTGCTTTCTCATAACCGGAAAAACATCATCCAAAATTGTGGCCTGACAAAACCATCCCCTCAAAATATATTATTAAAATTGTAAGTATTCTACAAGAGATTACTGTGTTAATCGTATTTAGTAGCGTACAAAAATTGTACAAAACGGGTAAGAATTCTACTGTGTTTTAAATGCTTTTTTCACGGCTTTACAACGTTTTTATGCATTTTAAGTGTTCAAAGTTCTCGAGCCTTGTTAATAATCAAACAATAAAATAATCATATTTTCAAAATATTACATTATAATTTCGATTATACTACCATATTAATATAATCAAACTATAATTTAAACAATTGGTTTTAAATAGGTATGTACATTTTAGACACTTTTAGCGATTCCTTCTTCGCGAAATGAGCTCAAACTAGAGAATTAGAGTTTAATTTATAAATGTACTAGCTGTCCCGAGCCCGGCGTTACCCGTGCCAATTTTTATTGTTATTATTTTACCCATATTAATTGTTGGTTTTGGTCGAGTCAGAATTTAATGAAAACAAATAGGTGGAAAGTGAAACCTTCGGCGGACTAAATGTGTTCTATTGTGAAATTTTAATAGTTTTCTTTTCGGTAACACCTAGGTAACCTTTGAATAAAGAAAAATAAATAAACAAAAAATTATATACTCGTACCGAATGTACCTAAAAACCCCTATTTACCCTTTTAGAGGTTGAATTTTCAAAAATCATTTCTTATTGCACGGTGAAAATACTAGAGGAACCACTATTTCAAATTTCAAACGCGTACGTTGATTAGTTTTTGAAAAACAGCGATCAGTGAGTCAGTGGTATTTGGATTGTATACATGTGTAGATAAATGTGGATCTAAACTAGCAAAAGAAATCTGGTTGAATTTTAATATTACGAATTTCACCGTGATATTTCGCGGGATGTAGGCGTTGTTTTTTAACTTTGACACCCCCCTTATGAAGCCAAAGGAATGAAATTTTGAAAAATCACGACATTATACCTAGTTTAAATATAGTATGTACTTTCTGGGGGTTTCAACTTCCAATCCCCCCCCCCCCCTCTGTCATTTGTATGCTCATCAAAGTTTACGATTTTTTTTTTAAAAGAACCTAATATAATAATATTTATTGTTTTTATTACGGTGTTTTTTTTTTTACACATGAAATACCAAAAAAAATACTATTACTTAAAATAGGTAATAATATCGTCGTCGGTTCACACCAAAAATTAAATTAGAAATATAAATGATACGTCAAGACGTTATTGTAAACAGAAGATATTATTTTTTTTCTTTGTAAACAGAACGGACGGATATAAAATTCTTCGAAATACAAACAAAATTGTATCCGTGATGTTAATTAAGTAACTTAATAACAAAAAGAAATATATACTAAAAAAAAAAAAGTCACGACACTTGGCGCTCTATTACACGGCAACATTTACGCTAAATATCGCGGCGTTAAAGTCTCCGGGCCGATTAATCTCCGAAACGCGCCGTCGGTCCCGCGCCGCGGCGGCAACGCATACAAAAGAGTTATACAGACGGGAGGCGCACGAGATAATAATAATTTATACGTACGGAAAAATAATAAGTACCCGCTCGCTTTCTAAATAGATAAACAATATTAAATTAAGTGCCGCGGTTAAAAACAAGGGTCACGGAGTGTACCGTCTTGTTGTACACCGAGTTGTATACACATATATAATATCGGAATCCCTGTTATTGCAGCACAGTAGTAATATAACTAGCTCGGTACATATATACAAGTAAATATTATCACAATATCGTGTTTTATTGTTTGCGTTAGACTATAAATATACGTAATATGGTACGGCACCGATAATTAATACGCGCGATGATATAATGACATTGACGACGGCGGCGTTTATTATGACGGGTCGATTTTCGGCCCCCGGGGGAAACCGTCGACGTACAAACACCGGCGCGTGTTCGCGCGTGACGACGTCAACTACGACGACGACGGCGTAAAAAAAAGTGATAAAAAAAAAAAAAAAAATACGGAGACGATATTTTCTGCGCGAAAAATAATATATGCGATATTTGTAAAACGGACATATTATACTTCGCGAGCTATCGGTCGATAGTGTCGCTTTTTCAACAATTTACGTTTTCGCGACAACAGCGATTGTTTAAAAAAAAATAGTATTAAAGTATAGTAAAAACTTAACACAATAACAAAATATTATAAATAAAAACGGTCGCCTCCAATGACAACCTTATTTTCAATTTTTTAACCTAAAGAACCTGTTTTCCCCCATATTATCTCGAATATTCATGAGAATTTTCAAAAAAAAATTACCTTGCTCGACCAGAGCCAAAATGCAACGAAAATAGGTCTCTTGTGTCTTGTTTTGATTGGAGCGAAATTTCTAGGAGAAAAGTAGTTTACAGACGAAAAATAAATATTACACGTCACAGTAAAACCGACAGATCGCCTCGCTCCACACAGAATGCAGCGATACCGAGTATAATTATACACGTTTCGTCTGTAATACGATAATAATTTATTGAATTTTTTTTTTCTCGTCATTTCATGTCCGTTTCTAATACCGATCAATTACCGTAAAACCTATCCGTACATGATAACAATACGAAACGCGAAATGCACCGCAGAGTTGATGAAAACGCAATCGTCTAGATTATACAAGAGTTAAAAATATGTTCGCAACCCGAAGTCGGTATTTCTATATGATACGGAATGGCTGAAAAAAAAAAAACGAAACCAACGCGCACCCAAAGTCGCCGCTCGCACGTAGAGACGTAACGAAACTCGCGTAATGAGATATGACATAAAAAACAATTATGTCCCAACTCGACTCATCCCACCACCAAACTCTCGGTACCTGCTCGCTCGGCACACAGCAGACGGGTTCGCGTGTTACGTGCATTCCATTGTTCTAACCAAATTTCACGACTTCGGCAGCGAACCTCCCCCCCCCGTGTGCCCGTCACCCATACGGGTATATTACACACACACACACACACACACACGACAACGGAATAGGTATAACTCGTCAACTACTACTGATCCACTTTGAACTCGCCGCGGTCTACCGAAACCCGGAATGCCTAGCTAATTGCAGCCTAGCGAATCGAATAAATCATATAGTAAGCGAACAATAATAACAATAATGATAAAGTTTCGGACGACGCCGAGACGCGGAGCGTATATAGAAGAGCAAAGGAGCGGAGGAGAAGGAGAAGTTGTAGAATATAAAAAAAAAAAAAAAAAAATACCTGAATGTGACCGGTTTTCGGTGTCTGCGATCCAACGTTAGTAGCATAAACGTGCACAACGTACCGGTCGGCGCCACCCTCCCTGTCCAGCATCGCGGCCGTGTAAAGCACGCCCAGTTTAACGTCTACGGAAAACATCCGATCCGCCTGCTGCCCGTTGGACCCGGTCACGTTCACCACGTAATATTCAATTTGACCGGGCAACGGATCCATCCTCAGCACGCTCGTGCCCAGCGGCTCGTTTTCGTACACGGACCCTTCGAAGTCCTTCAAATCGGCCAGCTTGTCGACGCCGCCATCCATGTCCGTCAACAGAGTGATGTAGGCGTCGGTCGACTTGCGTTCCGATTGCACCGCTTCGTCCGTGGCCCGCACCGTCAGCTTGTACGACCTCTCGGGTCGGGTCAGCTCGCGGCGCAAGCTAATCGCCCCTGTCGTCCGGTGTATGGAAAACAACTCGGAGTCGCCGCCCACCATCTCGTAGGTGACCAGCCCGTTGGTGCTGGTGTCCAGGTCTCTGGCCAGAGCGTACATGATATGCGCGCCCACGTGTCTGCTCTTTATGAGTCCGGTGTCCATAGACACGAACACCGGAGCGTTGTCGTTTTCGTCGTCCACTATGATGGTCACGGTCTTCTCGGCCGATAGCCGGGTTTCCGGCGGCACCGCCTGGTCGATCGCCGTGACGGTCAGTCTGTACGTGTCCGCGTATTCCCTATCGATCGGCAGCACGGTACTGATCACGCCGGTTTTCTCGTTTATCTGGAAACTCCGTCTGTCGTTGTCCGGTTGTTGTTGCGAAATGGAATAGTACACCAGGCCGTTCAGTTCCGAGTCCGGGTCGTCCGCGACCACGTGCACGATGGACGTGCCCGGCTCGAGGTTCTCGACGATTTGTCGCACTATGGCCGTGCTCGGGAACTGCGGCGGGTTATCGTTGCAGTCCAAAACGGTCGCGTGAAACGCCAGCGCGGAGGACAGCCGGGGGTTTCCGTTGTCGTACGCGGAAATGTTCAGTACGTACGCGCTAATGTCTTCGTAATCGAGCCGCTTGTGTAGATACAGCACGCCGGTCACGGCGTCTATGTGAAACGTATCGCGCCGGTTGCCGGAAACAATGGAATACCGTACTTCGCTGTTCGCGCCCAGGTCCGGGTCCGTCGCACGGAATCGGACCAGCTCCGCGTTGACCGTGGCGTTTTCGTAAATCGACACGCCGAACGGGGGCGACTCGAATTTGGGCGGGTTGTCGTTGTCGTCCAAAACCTCCACGGTGACCGTGGCCGACGCGTTGAGTCGCACCGGCGTGCCGTTGTCGTGGGCGGTGACGCGCAACGAGTAAGACGCTCGCGTCTCCCGGTCCAATAGCGCGTTGATCGTTATCATGCCGGTCCCGTTGTCGATTCTAAATTTCTCGTCGTCCCCGTCCTCCATGGTGTAATGCACGGCGCCGTTTTGTCCCTCGTCCTCGTCGGTCGTGTACACACGCAATACGTGCGTACCGACGGGCGACCCTTCGGACACCTGCACGCGATACGGTTGTCGGAAAAACCGCGGTCGGTTGTCGTTCACGTCGTTGACGTAGACGTTCACTTTGGTCTTGTCGTAGAGCGGATGCTTGCCGTTATCCGAAACGGTCACCTCCAACGTGATAACGTTCTGCCCCGTAGCCCGGATCAACTGTTCCCTGTCGAACTCCCGCTGAGTCCTGATGAACCCGTTTTTCGGATCGATCCAAAAGTCCGTTTTGCAATTGATCAACGAGTACGTCAATTCGGCGTTACGGCCCGTGTCCCGGTCGGTCGCCAATAATTTCCCGACGAACGTACCGGACGGTTCGTTTTCGTTAATGTGAAAATCGAACGTGACATTCGCGAATTCCGGTTTGTTGTCGTTTTCGTCGGTCACGTGTACGATGGCCACCACGGACGAACTGCGAGCCGGTGAACCCGCGTCCCGAACCACCACGGAAAGTGCGTAATAGTCCCTGCTTTCCCGGTCCAGACGGTGTTTGATGTACAACATCCCGTCCGGGAAAATTCCGAAATTTCCCTCCGCGTCGCCTTCTTCGATCGCGTACGTCAGCCGGGCGTTGGGTCCGTAATCGCCGTCCGTAGCGGTCAATCCGAAGAACCTGCTGTTGACGGCGGTGGCTTCGGACAGTGACGATTCGTAAGAAGTCTGATCGAACACCGGTGTGTGGTTATTTACGTCTTGGACGGTGAACAGCACAACGTGTTTGGCGCTGAGCGGAGGTGTTCCCGAGTCGGTGGCTACGATTTCGACGGCCAGTACGGTGCCCGGGGCCGTGTACACTGGCTTGTGTAGGTAAACGATTCCGGACGATTCGGTGATACGGAACAGACTGTCCGATTTGGATACCAACCGGTAAGTCACGCGGCCGTTCAACCCGACATCGTTGTCCTTGGCCCTGGCCACGCACAGCTCTTGACCGACGGCCGTGTCTTCGTAAAGGTCCACTTCGTCGATGACGGTGACAAACGCCGGTTCGTTGTCGTTTACATCCAAGATGGTCACGTTCACCAGCGTAGTACCGAACTTTAGGCCCGCCCTCGCACCAACGCGTATACTGTAAAACGATTGATTTTCCCGGTCGATTTTCTTCCACGTCGTCAACACCCCGTTCCGGTCCACCCGGAAGTTTCCGTTATCGCCGTTTAAAATGAAATACGACACGTCCGATTTCGTTTCCTTGACTCGAACCCGTCCCACTTGTCGATTGGAGACCGGGCCCTCTTGGCCGCTGTGGTCCTCGTAAATTTGGAACGAATACCCTTCGGCCGTATCGAATTTGAGCGTTTCGTCGGGATTTTTTATTATTTCTACGGTCGCGTCTTCGGCGGCTCGCCGGTCGTCTCTATCTACGGCGGTTACGTTCAGACGGTATATGGACTTGGGAAGATCGCCGCTGCCCTTCAAATAGATCGACCCGTCGCGAGCGTCTATGTAAAACAGACCGGAATCGCCGCCGCTCGCTAAACGGTATTCGATAACCGCGTTTTCTCCTTCGTCGATGTCATACGCCGAGACCGAAAGAAGACTGGCGCCCGTCGGATGACTGTCGCCGACAAACGCAACGTACTGCTGTGGATAGAACACCGGATCGTTGTCGTTAACGTCCAGCACGTCGAGGATGACGGTGGCCGTAGACGATTTCGGCGGCGATCCTTGATCTTTGGCCAATACCTTGATCTTGTACTCCGTTACTTTCTCCCTGTCGATTTGGGTTTTCACGGTCAACTGTCCGGTTAGCGAATCGAGCGCGAACGCACCCTTGTACTTGTACTGGACCTCCGGGTGTAAACTGTACGAAACACTGCCGTTCGTACCTTGGTCGTGGTCTGAAGCGGTCAGCATGGCCACCAAAGTGTTTTCCGGTACGTTTTCCAGCATTTTGACAACGATCAACTCTTGCGTAAACTCCGGACGTTCGTCGTTCTCGTCCAAAACTATGACTTTTAACTGGGTGTACGTCCATTTGGGGTTGGGGCCGCCGTCCCGGGCGGAAATCTTTATTTCGGCAGAGCCCATTTGTTCGCGATCCAGCCGCCCTTTGAGCGTGACCAGACCGGTGTCCGGATCTATGTCGAACCATCCGAACGCGTTGCCCGACACGATCGAGTAGTAAATCTGCGCGTTGATGCCGGTGTCCTCGTCGGTGGCCGTTATGCTGGCCACGTACGTGCCCGCCGGCGACAGTTCGCTCAACGTGGCCGAGTATTCGCTCTTCTCGAATACCGGTTCGTGGTCGTTAATGTCGTTGACGTAAATCAGAAGGTGTGCCACGGCGGTCCTGGCGGGGGTCCCTTTGTCGCTGGCCAACACGGTCAGATTGTACTTGTTGATCTGCTCCCGGTCCAAAACGCCGTGCACCCGAACGATGTAAAAACTTTGCGAGGATTCCAATCGGAAATGGTTCATTTCGTTGCCGGACACGATTTCCACGGTCGTCTCGCCGTTGAGCCCCTCGTCCGGGTCCATCACGGACACGGCGGCCACCACGGAACCGTTGATGGCGTTCTCGTCGACCGTTGCGTACGCCGCGTTAGACGGAAAATACCGGAATCTTACGACCGGGTCGTGGTCGTTGGCGTCGATCAGACTAATGGTAACGTACGCCCGGCCGTCCTGTCTGGGAGACCCGTGGTCTTGGGCGTGCACGGTGAAAACGCAGCTTTTCGGACACGCGGCCCTCGGTTGCTGTTGGGTGTGCGGCGGACAGTTCTGTTGCGGACAGTCGGGAATCTCGGTCGTGTAAATGGCCCCGGTTTCGGGATCCACGCGAAATCTGTTGTCGGCGGTTTCCGGCAAATAATACGTAATCCGACCGTTCTCGCCCAGATCCGCGTCCGTAGCCGTGACTTGTAGCGCGAACGTCCCCGACGGCGCACTCTCGTTCAGCCACGCGCTGTAGTCCGTGTGCGCGAACACGGGCGGATTGTCGTTGACGTCCAATATGGTCACGTTGACCGTTTGATAGCCGTACCTGGTGGGTACGCCACCGTCGCGGACGGACACGTTCAGTTGGTAGAACGGCACGGTTTCCCGATCGAGTTTGCCGGTGGTTTGCAAATACAAATACGTGAGGTCACCGCCCGGATTCGACGTCACTTCCAATCGGAATTTCTCGTCCACGTTGCCGGCCACTATCCTGTAATCGGACGACACGCCGTTCACGCCCGCGTCTTTGTCCGTGGCCGTGTCCAACAGCACCTTGTTGTCGGGCGCCGCACTCTCCGGGAACGATACCGAAATGACCGGTTCCGGGAATTCCGGCGCGTTGTCGTTGACGTCCACCACGAGTATGCGCACTTCGATCGGATACGTGGGCTGACTGGACAGAACGATCAGATCGTATCGGTCGTTATTGGGAAGCGCCTCGCGGTCGAGGATTTGCGCCGTGGATATCTCGCCCGTGGTCGCGTTCAACACGAACTCGTCGGACGGTTCGTTGAACCGGTAAACGAAACCGGGCCTGATCGGTATCCGGCCGACGGCCGTACCCTTCGGCTGGCCCTCCAACACTTCCAGTTGCACCCGAGCGTTGCTGTCTACCGAGTCGCCGCCGCCGGCGTGCGCCGCCGACGACGGTTTGACGACGACCGCGAACAACGCCAATACCCGCACGCATATCGCGGCGCGCCATAACATTGTGCGCGGGGTGATCCCTGCTCCGAACGCAGAATCACCCGGTCATCGCGCCAACGCACGCGTTCTGCGGGACCGCGACACACGTTCACGCACCGCGCACAACACTCACTGCACTACCGTAATCCATGTGCGACTGCGACGGCAATATCTCCGCGCGGTTCGGAAATGAATACGATACAATATAACGAGTACGAATCCGACGTCTCGTACGTACGTTCACGAAATAATAACAAATATTATCGATCGGCACGCGCGCGCACACACACACACGCGCGCACACACACACACACACACACTCACGCGTACACGCACACGCGTCCGGAAAAATTTTAATAAAATCCAAAACGGACCGCGAGCTCACCCGGTTGTATATTGAAACGCGCACTAGCGGTCGGCGTGCGCGAAATAATCGCAGCGATGAAACGATGAAATCGTAACGTTGCGGTGCGGTCACGGGGTAAAGGTAACGCGGACACACGCACGCGGCGGCCACACGAACAGAACGCAACGCGGGACGACGAGCACGGACGAACGTATGCGCGTACACTGAAGACTGGTTCGGTCGGATCGGCGGCGGCCGGCTCAGTCGGATCCGAAGTGGAAACATTCTTTCGGTCGGCCCCCTTCTGCGCGCGTTCCGCGCTAACCCCGCCGGCCACACGGCCGCGCGCGTAGTCTCCTCGACCGCCCGTCCGCCGCGGCGCAGACACATCAGTGCGTGCCCGTGTGTTCTCCGACCACCGCCCCGTCGCCCCACCCCGGCCGCCCGCGGACCGCCGGTCCGTCCGGCCCGTACACGGCACACACGCGGCCGCGGCGGCGTAGAGCCCGTTTTTACCTGTCAAGATTGCCCGCCGCCGGCCCTGCGCGCGTTTGTGTACGCGCGCGTGCACGTGTGTGCGTGTGATAGGTACATACGCGCGCGAGTGTGTGTAAATATACGCGTATGGGTACGGTGTTGGCGAGCGCGCGTGTATGCGTGCACTCCGGTCGGTCGGCCCGGTCGTCGACGACGGCGACGGCGGCGGCGGCGGCGGCGGCGGCGGCGGTGCTTGAGTATTTTACTGCCGTCGCCGTTCGGATATACACGGCCGGGTTCTGGTCGAAGGTATTCAAGATGGCTGCACCCCGTTCGCCACTCGCCCACCACCGAGAGATCGCTATATACATTAATAATATATATATATATATATATATATATATATATATGTATATACACATACGTACGATATACACATATAATAATAATAATAATAATAATAATAATAATAATATATAAATACGACGATGACGGGGGGATTCGCCGCGGTGCTCGCGCCCGCGCCCGTTCGTTCGCGCGCCGCACAGCCATTCATGCGAGTGCGTCCGCGCTTTGTGTCCGGTCATCTTGCACTATTTATTATTATTATTATTATGTTTATAATCGTCGTTATTATTATTGTTATTATTTCTAAAACGGCCGCGGCGACGGCGACGACGGGTCCGAATTCGAAATGATGAACGGAATAGAGAGAAAAATCAATCGTATCCCGCGACGCGTGTCGTTTCGCGCACAGTTCGCCCGGCGATCGTAATTTTCGCTGTGATACGCAACATTGCACGATACGATAATCGCGTGCACCGTGCGTCACCGCCGAAATCCGATCCCCGCGCGAGAAATACGCGCAGCAGCGACAACAGTAGTAGTGGTAGTGGGTAATAATAATGGTATTGTTTTTTTTTTTTTTTTTCTTGTCTCAATCGACCGGGTCCGAATCCCGACGAAAACGCCGAAATCGGGGAAA